AAATTTCCGACAGCTGCTGGCCAACAATTTTCGACATAACTTTAGATTTTATGGGCCACATGTGAGGCGTGTGTTAAGGGCCCGGACTACAAGTCAGCTTACTATCAATTTGTTTGTCGTTGTTGCCGGTCGAGCAGTGAAATTAACGATTCACTGGTTACCAAAACGCCAGCTCGGCCCCAACCCTGTCTTTGCCACCTGGCATTTGCGAAGGGTAAGCACACAAAACACCGTAGCGCAGGCCCATTTTCTTGCAGTTGTTGTTGTTGCAGTTGGAATGGCGTTGTCTACGCCAAGTTGCAAGTTGCAAGTTGCGAGTCGCTGGTCTGAAGCACTACACCTCATGAATATTTCACTTGCAATCACATTGTTTTCCCGCTAACTTTTAAGATTGTTTTAGCATGTGGCGGAAATGGGCGTGGGCGTGGCATTGTCGGTTGCGGCGGTCGCCGTCGCTGCCGCTGCTGCTGCCACACGTAAAGTTGCAACAACCAACTTTGGCTTTCACTCAATTTCGCTAGCCGGAAAAGCAGTTTGAAAGCATGCACAGCTTTGTATGTGTGTGTGTGTGCGTGTGCTCTATAGGTAATCCTTGATTCCGCTGCATTTGGTGGCTCATTTTCCTGTCGTTCGGCACGCTTCCATCGCCTGCTTTAATACTTGATGCAGTTTTGCTATTCGTTTTTTTTTTGTGTGCCCGAATTATGGGAGATTTATGCTGCCGTCTAGAGCATGGCCAATGCCCAAGCCAACTAGTCAAGAAGTACCTAAAGAGCGGGACGGCAACAGCGGGAGAGAGCGAGTGCGAGAGATAAGTGGCCACTCAAAGGAAATTACGTGTTGGTTTTGAAAGTGGCATGAGATAAACTTCCATGGCGTTTTTTCTCGCTCTCGCTCTCTCAATTTTCTCTATTTTCTTTTTGCTTTCAGTTTTTCGTAGGTTACTTTTTCGGGCCGTTACTTTGGTCGCCGCCAGCGCGTCTTTTGCAAATGTGCGTGGATTAAAGTTTGCCATGCTTTTAGTTAGCTCTGTAGCTCCTTCGTTTTTCAACTATTTTTTCTTTTCTTCAGTCGGTGCGGTGTTTAATGAAATTTTTGTGCTGCCTCGCAGCGCTGCAGCTCCCCTTAAAAATAAAAATAAACTGCCCCATTCCCAGTGCGCCACAAGGCAAATTCTCGCCCAGCGGTGCTTCAGTGTATTTGAGCTTCGTTCGCGTTCGCTTTCTCGTTTTATGGGGCACACACAGCAGGTGGCAGGTGCCACCACTGTGTCGAACTTGCAGCTGCAACTGCAATTGCAACCATTTTCATATTTTATGTACTTTGCGTGCTTAAAAATGTTTCAATTTCTCCACTTTTCACTCTGTGGCGCACGTATCGGGTGAAAGGGTGCCACTGCCTTCACTGCCGCCGCCCACTTTTGCCATTTCAATTTCATGAAGGTCAGCGGGCAGGGCAAACCAAATAACTGCCGAGCTGCATGTAAAAAAAAACTTGCTTGATAATTTTCTACTCAAATTGAATATTTGTAAATGTGTGTGTGTGTATGTGTGTGTAAGCCAAACTTTTCTTATTCTCTGCAAATAACTTTAATGGAAAAACTTTGAATATCAAACCGCAAAAAACAAAAAAACCTTGTCCACTACCAGCTCCAGTCACAGTCCCCGTCCAACCCAGGCGGGCACTCGAATTGAAAATTAAAATTGAATAGTTGCTCCGCACAGCAAAACAGCCACCTGGTCAACGAGTTTGGCAACAAGCCCCAAAACAATTCAAAATTATAAAATAAACTTAATTTGTGATTCGTAATTTCTTATACTTATATTAAAATTACACAGAACTGGGATGCTCCTCCTGCTCGGAACATTCAATTACCAATAAATAGGAGCAGGCACATCCCGAATAAGAGTTCAGAGAGATAAATCATGATTTGTGCTTTCAAATGATTACAAATAAAAAGAGATAATAATTTAACACAGAAAATAAGCCGCGACCAAATTTCCTTAACCCTCGGCCTAGTTAGGGCTTAATACTTCGAACTCTACACGTAAAAACAATGATGAAAGGAGTATGCGGTATGTTCCCCAGAAACTGTATTTATAATTATGATTTAGAAAATAAATAATTATTAGATGCCATACAAAAGTCTTTTAAGACTGCGTATATTTAATGGGTCTCAAATTGAATTAAATTCTAAAAAATAGAATATATTTCTTTCAAAATATAAAAAAAAAGTCTATCGAAAGATGCATAAATATTCGTATCATATTTGATTAAAAGAATTATATATTAAATGATAATTAACATAAATGTTGGTTCAGTTTTGTTAAGTTAGTTAAGGAAAAATCCTTATGCCAGACGTTGGCGAAATATGCTCAGCAACCTTTTTTTCTTGCGCATGACCTTGTTATAGAGAAGGAATAAAATATCCGTAGCTGAAGTCCTTGTGAGGCGGTCCAATTAGCGAGTGTCTGTTGTAGGAGGACACGTTTGTATGTTGCTTCTGTATCTTTGGCGTATATCAGTGCCCAAGTGACAGAAAGTCATTTGGGTTATTAGCAGTCGAGTGTCGCAAAGGAGCCGAGAGAAATATAGAAAGAAATAGATAGAGCAAGATGCTGCGGGGTATGGCCGGAAACCCTTCTAATGCGAACTTCAAAAGGAAAATGCCATAAGAAATAAGTTTCTTCAGCTGACATTATTTCGTTATTATCCGCATCAAGGATTCGATTGACAGGCAGGCACAGTCAGAGGCACAGGCACGTGCTGCCAACGCCTTTATCCTTGCGAAAACATTGTCTGGGGGCACAGCAGCAGGCAGCAGCTAGCAGGAGGCGCAGGAGTTCAGGACAACAACTGACAGCCGAACCGAGGCGCAGCACAGATACAAAAGAAATTATATTTACTGCTGGGCAGGAGGCAACGAACGAAAACAAAACACACACTCACACACACACACACACACACACACAAATAGGCAAGTGGCAAGTGGGGCTGACGGGGCAGTACTGCTTGGCGAAATCAAATAAAATGCCGGAAACATGGCATCGAGGGCCCAAGTGGTGCCAAGTCAAGTCAGGGGCCTCTATACCGTTGAGCCTTGGCGACTTTTGCTTACCTATTTTTTTTCTTTTTTGATTTTTTTTTGGTCGCCGCACGCATTCACGCACTTACTCACTCACTATTCACAGTATTCACGAATGTTTTCGCAGCAGATAAATACAACATTTGACACTTCATTATTGTGCCCGCAGCGTAATCGAATCAATTCCAGCTCCACTTCGAAGCCAGCCCAACCCACGTGCCCCGTCTTGTCATGGTGTCAAAAGTGCTTGGCCATTCGTCGTCCTTGGTCCTGGGGTTCGTGGCCCAAGGCTCAAGCCAGCTTGGCCTGTTGACACATTCGCTTAAACGTATTAAATTGTTTGCCATCGCTATTGTTGTTGCTGCTGCTTTTGGCCAGCAAGCAAAGCCTGGTATTTTATTTATACGCACTTTCGTTGTCCTTGTTGCTGTCTGCTACTCGAGAGAACCTGATGCCTGATGCCTGATGGTTGATGGTTTTTTCTTTTATGTTTGTTTGTTTGCGTGCGGAAGTGCGACCAGTCCGCTCGCTTTTTTTCTTTCATTCTTTTTTAATACATTTTTGCACTGTCACACTTAAAGTAATCGATTACATTATGGGTCCAGTAACCGGATATGTTCGTTTCCGGTTGGCATTTGACGCAACAAATGTTGCAAGCGCCACATAATTGTGCGCCAGCTCCAGCTGTTTTATATTGTAATTGTAACCTAATTACGATATGATAACAAGACATTGAGGTCAATTGCGCCGTACCCTGCTTACGTTGTCAAAACTGACGTTAAAAAAAATTTGTATTCTTACTCTAAGACTATAATAATAAATCAATGACTTCTAGGCTGTATATATTGATTTGGTTTATTGAAAGAAGTACCCCTAGACGTGGTTTAATATAATTTATGACTTGATCTGTAGAGTTGGGCAGATGTATATGGGACTAAATATTGTGACTCTAGTGCCAAAACTGCGCGAGATATAATTTACGCTATCTTTCCATTTTAGGGAGGGCTTGATAGGAAAAATTGTATCACTTTTCACAAGTTTCAAAGCGATTTGAACCGTTCCACTTTGTGTCCCGAGTTGCAATCAATTGCAATTGCAACCAAATTCGTAGCTCAAAGATGGAGAGGTTCTCTTCACAAACCAAACCTTGAGGCGAAGTATTCGCTTAAGCCTTAAGCCTCAGAAACAGCTCGTACGACATTTACCCATGTCATAAACTTGTATCTGAATTAAATATACACGCGGATATGTTTAAATGTTCTAATCAGTAGCTCCTTAAAAACGCAAAACCAATATACCCCTACTTACTTTGTGAACAGTGCATAGTCATTTAAGAGTCTGCATATTTTATTAGCCGTAAAGTAAACTTACCAAGGTTCATATAGTTATATGTGCACTTAATCCCATAAAACTCAGCAATTGAATTAATGCAAGTCCCTTGTGAAGCTGACATTGCGAAAGTTTTAATATTTAAGTGCATTTTAACACTTTGGTAGCTCAAGTATTTTCACACACACACGCATATGCACTTGCATATTGACATTTAAAATTGATTGGCAAATCAACAGCAAATGCACTAAATTATTTGTAAAGCTTTGCCAGGATATATGTGCATAAGGATTGTCCGAAAGCAATTTGACAACTTTCATTAGCTGTGCATAATAAAGTGCACTTTATGAACTTTGCGACATTTGACAAATTTTCTCCAAAATGCCCTAAACCAATTAGCCACACACACACGCACACACGCACACGGACACAAAATCTAGATGATAGATGCTGTTGGCCATAAGCCCAATAGTGCGTGACGTATGCTCGTTGGGCTAATAATATTTGCTGTAATTTAGTTTATAGTTTCAGGCATTTCATATTTCGTATTGCGTATATTACATTTGAATTCCTTTCGCTTTTACAGCCAGCGCCCAGAGTCTGATGGCCAAGCATGAGCCCATGTTCATATCACGTTCGGAGACATTCAAATTCATAGCCGGAGATATTATAGTGCTGCCCTGTGAGGTGGCCAATACGGGTGAGTAGTCTAAATAAGAGTATATGAATGTGTGTGAGCGAGAATGAGTGTGAGTATGAGTCTCTCTGTGGGTATTCTTAACTCAGTTATCATTCAATTGCTGCGGTCTGCATACTTAGGACATATGTGCATAATTAACCCTACACCATGTGATGCTGCCTTTCGGCTGACCGCAACTATGCATTAATCCAGGCTGTCCAGCCTGAAATAAAAAGGATGAGCACTTGACGAGCATCTGTCTAAGATGCGACCTGAACACGTTTTTGTTTTCGGTTACGGTTTCGGTTTTGGGATCCACCCAAATGTTGCTTGCACTGTTGGCATGTGCCATGCACGTTTTTCAATTTAAATGCGGTCGTGTGTTGAGATTATTTGTACATAACAAGGATTTTGCGTCAGGACATTTATTCACATACATATACACAAATAACTATATAGCAAACCAGTCTGGTTGCGGCTGGGCGCTGTTGTCGTCGTCGTCGTCTGGACATCTTGGCCAAGTTTGTATACAAAATGCTACATAAAAACTTGAATCCAAACACTTGGCATATATTATTTGTATGTGCAGACTTATGTGGGCGACTGTCCTGGTCTACAAATACACTCAGCGAAAATAGTCAAGCATTTGGAACTTAAATCAAGCACAGTCAAGGTGAATGTTACTTGTCGAGAGAGAATTCCTTCAAAAAAATTCTTAGTAAACAAATTTTGTTTTTCTACCGAAACTCCAAAATACAATTATTAAAGTATTCAATAAAAATTTGAGTATTTATTCAATTATAATTGTCCCTGTGAAAAATCTTTTTACATATTTTGCCAAATATAAATTTTCTGATAAATATAAATAACGAAATGTATTTAAATATCTTAAAAGTTACAATAACTTTTTAATATGATTTTTTCTGAGTGTACGTTTATATTAGTCTGTGTGTGTGTGTGTGTAGGTTTTGTGGTCATATCAACCGTTTATTAGAAGCAGCATACAGAACAAAGAACATGGCATTTTCTTTGGCATATCTCATGCACTTCATTGCCCCAACGAAAGAAAATGAAGAAGTAGTAGAAAAGAAAAAAGTAAAAGAAGCGGAAGCAGGACAATGGAACACAACAATACATAGAACATTCTTGCATAGCAGGGTATTAGAGCCACAGGCATTTGGGTAATGATAAAAAGCGAGCACAGTAAGTGCAAAAGCTCAAAATGCGATAGCAGAAGAAGAAAAATAAAAAAAAGTATATAGAAGCTACGTAACCGGGTTTCCAAAGCGCTGTCTAATGGCATTCTATGCTAATAAAGTGCCACCATACGGCAGTTTAATTAGAAACATTTCTCAAGCCTGAGCTCAGCTCCAGCTGCTAAGTGCAATAATTAAAATCAAAACCGTGACGTCTTTGGGCCGTGTTCATAAGGCGCACTTTATGGATATTTAAAAAGAAATATGTTAAGACTGGCAGCTGCTGCCGTTCTCTCATTTTTCTTGAGCTGCTTTTTATGTGTTAGCCATAAAGTTAAAAATGTAATTGATAGAATTTTTAAAAACGCACTCAATCCTGCTGTTGCTGTCCCTCAGCTTGCTTCAGTCCCCACCCCCAGCCACCCTGCTTTCTACTCAGTATTTGTATTCGCCGCGATGATGAGCTAAATACAAAATTTATGCACATCTTCATTTTATTTTATGACGAAAGCCCATAAAATTCGAAAATCACATGAAAATGAGCCAAAATGATGAGTTCCTCTGGTGCTGTCTTGTTCTCTCTCTCTCTCTCCCTCGGTCTCTCTCACTTTTGCCTTCTCTTTCTTTTGTGCGAATGCTCATTTGCATATTATATGAAAATTCCTTTAAATACTTATTGCGGTGCTTCGCACTTTTACAAAAGTAATCTTATGTCTTGGCAAATAAGAAATATAAGCACATCTTAACACACGCACACACACGCATGCACACACGCACACACACGCATGCACAACCAAAGCTCTCAAGTACCTGTGCAAGAGCCTGTCTAAATAAACATTGAAGCATTTCATCATTATCATTTTATCTTGTTATTTGCATTTCGTTCTTTTCTTTTTTCTTGCATATGTGCAAGGCTATTCGAGTTGCACGCTATCATAGCCTGTCTTCTGCCCTTACCTCTTCACCTTTATGCCCCCCGCGCTCTATTAGAACCTATGCTTTGCTGCCTTCGTTGATATGCCAGTCGGCACTTGCGCCTGAGGTTATGCAACATAAAAGTAATTCCGCCAACACAAACAAGCACAAGGACCTTGCATTTTAGCAGCTGTACATAGTCGCGCGAGCCATACCCTGTCCTCAAGAAAATTTTATAAAAAAAAAAACAAAATTAGTTTAAATTGAGATAATGATTCATAATTTGCCTACTTAATGCTTTGATTGATTTCATAATAACTATATACATCACTTATTTTAGTATGATTATTAATTATCTTATACTGTTTTTTAAATGAAGAGTACGACGAGGCACAAACATTAAAAATACGTAAAGATGTGGAACATTATTGCTTTTAAATTTAAAAATCCTTAAAGGTATAGATATTTAGATATAAAAGCAATAATGTTCTACAAATGAAAGTAAAGTAAATCTGAATTTACATTTAATCAAAGCTTATCCAGGCAAGGCTGGCTAATGCTTAAACCTTAACTCCATAACTCAAATAATTCCATAAGAATACAAAAAGAGGGATTGGAGTTGTTTAACTAAATTCCCTAATTATTTCACCAAATTTTGTTTTCAAGAGTTTCTGACTGTGCTAACAAGCAGAAAGATGATAAAGTTTTACTTTGCTGCACACATTTGTTTAAGCAAATTTCTTGTTGTTGTTTATTCAATAATTATTTCTTCTAATGAATTTAAAAAGTACTCATACATTTACTTAAAGGCTTATAATCAACTTGTCTTTCGCACACACACATACACACACGCTCAATTCCTTAGGCATATTTGAATATTTGCGCTCTTATCAAATATATCAAATAAAATGGCAAGTGCTGCTGTTGAAAGGCTTGTCAAGTGCGTGGTTGATGCTTTGTGTGTGTGTGTGTGGCTATTTTATGAATACCCCGTTTTTTGTAAAGGTTTAGCAAGGGCTGCTACACTTAGCATTTGACATTTCCAATTAGTTTTCATATATATTTATTTATTCTTTAAAGATATGATAAATAAATATATATAAATATAAAGTTTGAATTTTTGATGCATGAATATTTATTTTGTAATTTATTAACCAATGTTAAAAAGTTAAAGTTATTACCTTAAATTAATATTATAAATTACATTAACTATATTTGGTACATCATTATGTTATTATTTAAAACAATGTTTGTTTAATCTTTAAAAATATAATTTTCCGTTATAGGCAATTTTCAAGTTTGATTCACAGCTTACAACGTTTTTATTTATTTATTTAATTTTTAAAAATATAACTTTTATTTTTAATAAACGCAAATTTTGGAATATATAGCCGCATTAACGGTATACATAAAATTCGAAACCTAGGTATAGGGTATCTGCCACTTAATCAACTTCCACTGGAGCATTCTTAAATAATTTCCAGTTAATTCTATGTGTGCGTGCTTGTGTGTGTTTCTTATAACAAAGTGTGTTGTTATTAAAATTTAAAAGAAGAGAAATTCTTAAACCTTTTGAAAATGTCAAGAACTCAAAAACTTTGTTCTGATGCTCTCAAATAATTTGCCATTATTAATGGATGGCCAGCAAAACAAACGCATACATCTAATTCTGCGAATGCATTACGGATTGGTTTTGGTTTAATTTTCATTTGTTATTTTGCCGAGTGGATTCAAATAATTAATTGTTTTCGAAGCTGTTGTGTAACCAAAGGCCGGTGCTTAACTTGTCAGCACGCATAAGACCTTTTCCTGTTGATGGTTTTAGCCGCAACAATGGCAAAACAACTGTAACAGCAACAGCAACAGCAGCAGTGGCAGCAAAAAGTGGCAACTGGCAAACTCGAATGCAATAAAATGCAAAAAGGCACAAAAACCTCAGTTACGGCGACCACAGAGAAAACGCTCATTACGCTTTGATGGAGCGCCAGAGCCGGAGCTGGAGCTGGAACTGTAGCTAGAGGCGAGGCCGGAGTCGCGGTCGGATTCGGTGCCGCAGCGCTCGAAACTATTACAGAGCAACGGAAATGGAATCGTGCCGCAAAAGTTGAAGTTGTGCAAACAGCAGGACAGCAGCTTTATATAGGTAGTGGGGGCTGAACTGGGCTGGGGCAGCAACAAAGTTTCAATATTAATGCCATTTACAGTTCTAATTTCGCTTTTTACGTACGCGCACAACACTTAACACAAACACACACACACACACACACACACACACACACACACACACACTGGCAACACACACAAGAGTTGTGCAAGAAGTTGCAGAATAATGCCATATTGAGGCAACTGCCTGGCACGCCCTCTGCTCACTTGGGTTTGTGTGTGTACTTGGGTCGGCTTAGCCGCAACATCGTTTATCTTCGGGGGTCATCATCTTATAATATTGGCCTTTCCGACATGCAATAAATTGCGCTCTGGCAAACAACATGTCGGTTGGCCTCTCTCTTTCTCTCACTATGTTTTGCTCGGCCAGCTCCTTGTTGCAAGTGGCACATGCCTTGTGCCTTGGCTTAACGGCAAATTGCGCATACGCACCGTGTGGCTAGTGCAAACAAACAGAGCTCGACAACAAAAGCGAATGTCGACCATATTTGAATAGCCTCTGTGTGCGCCTCTGTCTGTCTGTCTGCCTGTCTCAGTCTGAAGTGTAGAAAACTAAAATTTCGCTCTGGCTCTAAATAAGGCACGAACACACACAAACAGCACACAGAACATGCGGCTGGCCATGGCCAACAATTTGTCCAGTTCCAGTAGGAGGCAAAACGCAAGGCCCTGTTCATGTGAGGCTAACATACAAAAGCCGAAATGCTTTTACTCTGTTTCCGCCTTAACAGATAGCCTCAGCCAGCAGAGTAGTCAGTCAGCAAGTGTGCGTGTCTGTTTCTCTTTAGTTTAGAACACTTAAACCGGAAATTGAGGCGTTTTGTGTTTTGCTTGTTTTAGTTGGATTGTTGTTATTTTAGTTAACAATTTATTTAGTTACAGCCAGCACAATCACACACTCGCACATACACTCACACACACACTCGCACATACTTTTACAATTTATATGATCTCCTAAATTATTTGTGTTGCATGCATTGTTCAAGTGCCTGGCCACACTTTAAGCGCCACTGCAAGAGCGCACAGAATATCTATACTAAATCGTTCCCCTCCCAAACACCTCCTACCCCATACTCCTTTAACATGACAGCTGTTCATCCCTAAGTCTTATTAATTTCCTGCTCTGACTATCAAATATCGTAGCCAAGAGCAACCGACCTGTGGTTTCATATGCTTAACTATTATAATGAAAATTCTTTCTTTTAACATGCCACAACCGTTGAGCATTTCGACCCTTTATGCTAAATAATAATCCCGGTTAGGAAAGGCGAGAAATTTAAGCTTATGTTCAGTTAAATTAAATGTCTGGTTTTTGGTTACTATAATAGCTTATATTTATCGCAAATTCGATTTTAATAGGCATATTGAAATTTTTAAGAAATGTTGCCAAAGATGCTGTGGAGTCCTTTATATTGTTAAAGAAACAATTTATAATATGAAAATCAACTCACAACTTTAGTATACAAAATAATAAAAAATAATAAAAATATGTTATGTTAAAAATTGTCTGATTTTCAAAACTTTTCAAATATTGCCTTTTCAATAAGAAAGTAACAATAATATTAATAATATATATTTAAAATAATCACAAGATAAAGTTGTGATCAATACAGCAAGAAATTCATTGAATTTAATATAAAAAATTTGAACTGTATAAGTTTTTAAGTTGAGAAACGAGTCTAAAAATGCATTTTTAGTTTTTCACTTATTCCTGTCGGACTCCAAATAAAAACTCGTCTCATTATGTAAAATTATAGTAAAAAATTTCTTAGTATTTTTAGGGTATTTTTGTAGATCGCTGCAGCTGAATCCACCGACTGCATTACTGGCCAAGTGCTGACTGCCATTGCCTGGCTGCCTTTAAGTAACTCGCAGACCAAAAGAAGACAGGCTAACACACCAACACACAGACACACACTTCCACGCCCCCTGCCCCTCAGCCAGACAACGAATTATGTTTTCCGCTCTAAAGGCAGCTGCTTGGGTTTCTCCTTCGTTTGCAGTTGCGGCTCCATGTTCGTAGTGCACGCCAACGGCAGCAGGTGGCGCTAGTTTATTTATTTGCATGTGCGAATGTGAGTGTGAATCAGTTTGTGTTTGTGCGTGTGTATAAGTGCTGCACAACACACTATATGCTTGCCTGCTGTGCCGACAGACTGCCTGGCTGCCCTACAGCCCTCCTTCTCTGCCCCTGGCTTGTTGATGTTGTTGAACTCATTGCAAATAAATACGCTTTTTGAATGCGCATGTAAATGACTTCATAAGCATTTTATTACCACCAAGTTTCACGGAGTCTATGCACACACACAGACACATACACACACGCTCACACGGATAGACACATTTGTGTGTGTTGAAATCAATTTTTCCTTCATATTTCTCGCACTCTCTCTATCTATTTCTCACAGTCTGTGCCCTGGAATAGGCCGTCAATAATGAGCGGTGAAGCTTTAATTTTCAACACGCTTTTTGTCCCAAAAGAATACTCGAAATACTTGGCTGAAATACTCGATACCCGAGCGTATCGAAATTGTTGTTTTAATTTTTAATGAGCGCCATTCGCGGAAGTCATACATCATTAGTAGCAAATCCGGACAACTTCAATTTCAATATGTGGGCGCACGGGCGGCGCCCCCAATGACTGCCTCATACACCGTGCTGCAGCGGCACGTGATGCTCGACTCGGCGCGAGTAGACAACGCACAACATCCAACACATAAATTGAACAAGCGGAAAATTATACAAGCGAGGGTTCTCGACAGCTTGATACCCTGAAATCAGCAACGACTATTTTCTATAGATACATACAGTACTCCGATAATTTCTTTAGGCAGCGGCTCAGCTTCTACTTAGTGTACTCCCATACCGTAAAAGATTAATTCTTCAATAACTGATATGTTTTATGTACGATCGGTATGCTATTAAAATGTGTGTATATACTCCTAATACTTGCGATATAATATAATACTTATTATAATGAATAATGATTTCTTTTGTAAAATATATTTTTATTTTAATTGTGTTGCATGTGGATTAAAATATGGAAAGTTTATAATATTCTTGATTTGTGTTACCTATAAAATAACATAAATGTCAAATTTATTATCTTTCGTTATACAAATGTGCAGGATAAGCACGAGGATCCGGGACTGCACATATTTATATCATATTTATCGATTTTGTGAAAATGGAAGTTTTTGTCGAATATACTACAAGATCGTATGAAACATTACTTGCGAACCTTTAGAAAGGAATATACATATAGAACATATGTATATACTTATTCTGTACTTAAAGATTACTTCTTTTCCCTATAACAATTTTGTGCATATTTGTGCACAATAGCAGTGTATCCTTTTTGCCCATATACAATGGGTGTAGGGTATAAAAAAGAATCACAATTAATGAGTTCGATGAATGCGCCATGGAGTATGTCTGTCTGACTGGCTGTCTGTCTGTGCTTACATCCTGTCTCTTCCTGCTGGCTTGCCAGCCTGTTGAAAGCCGCTTTTCATGCCCTTTTCCCTTTCCGTTTGGCATATCGAGTGCCTGGCATATGATTGCAAATGCCGCACATTAGCGGATATCAAGTGGGTGTTATTGAGTGTATGTGTCGCCATACAACAGCCCCTGACACCCCCTTCCCCACACACGCAACCCCTCTGTGTGTCTGTGTGTGTGTGGTCTGATGTTGTGCGCGAGTCCATGCCAAATTGAATTTCTAGCCTTTTAGATCTTTTGAAATGCCTTGTAATTGAGTCATTTGAATTCTGACTTTTCAATTTATATTGCGAGTGTGCTACAGTAGGAGTGTGTCTGTGTGTGTGCGTGATTGAACTTAATTTAAGTGATTGCCCTCTCGCATTTACCAATTAACTTGTAGCAGACAAGACGCGATTATAGCTCACGCTCAAACTGATTTTTTATATTTTTATTTAACTTGCATTCATTGCAGAACCCTATGTGGTTGCCTGGAAACGTGGCATTGCCATTTTAACCGCCGGCTCTGTAAAGGTGACGCCCGATCCGCGCGTCCGTTTAGTAAGCGGATTCAATCTACAGATACGTGACGCTGTGCCCCAGGATGCTGGCGATTATATATGCCAAATTGCCACTATGGAACCACGGGAAATAACACACACCGTCGAAATACTGGGTAAGTAGCCCAAAACCAATCAACTGCAAGTTTGCACTTGTGCTCATAATTTTGAGCCGAATATATGTATCTTCTTCTTTAATTAACTAAGCAGAGTATTTTCTTGATCAGTATCAATATCAATAGCCGAGTCGATTTAGCCATGTCTTGCTGTCCGGCTCCCAGTTTAAAAACTTCTGTCATGACAGTCTATTTTGCGTACGTCTACATTTATTTTACAGGCATCAGTTAGAACCAGTCGAATAGTATCACTTGATCATATAGCTGCGGAGAGGTCCAAGTTTAATATAATGCAAGAAAATCATTTGAATTCTCCAAGAGATCGGGGTCAAACTTTCCATTTAAGTGTTCTTCTACCTTGCGCTCGACATATGAGCGGAACAATATATGAAAAAGATCTAGAGAGCCAAACGGAATACCATATCAAAATGAAGATGGTTGATCGATAATTAAGTTCTTATAATAAAACCCCTTCGTTGTTTCAAATATCTTGACTAAGCTTGGTATTGAAAAGTTTTACATTGCTCCTAGGACTACGGACTGTATCAGAAAGATTTATAGAGTCGGTTTGCTTTTCAAGATAACTTGATAAAACTTGGCATTTACGAGTTTTTCCATGGGCCTTATAGCATGTCGGATCAATATACTACTACTATACTACTACAATACTATATCATATTTAGGAGCTATTCCATGCATTTAAAACACCAGGAAAATCTTATCAGTACCCCCAATAATAAATATATCATAAGAGAGAGAAAAATTATGTTTTTACAAAACAAGCTCTATATGGGTATTTAATCTTCGGTGTGCAAAAGATAGCTGTTCTTTCTTTTTTTTTACCCTTGCAGAGTGTATTCTGATTGTGTCTCGAAATGTGTTACGCATAGAAGGAGATATCTCCGACCTCATAAAGTATATATATTCTTGTATGACACTTTTGTTTTTGAAGATATCTTGACCAAACTAGGCATGCTCCTCATATATATGCAACATCCTATCAACATCGGACTCCTATATCATATAGCTGCCATATTAACGATTGGTGAAAAATGAGGTTCTTGTATGAAAAACTTTTAGTTTTTCTAGATATCTTGACAATACTTGGTATTAACTTCTGTGCTTCTTAGATACGCGAAAAGCACTATGATCATTATGAAATAGTTGTGTCTGCAAGGGTATTAAATCTTCGGCGTGACGAAGATAGCCCTTCTTTCTCGATTTCATTGTTATGCAAATTATTTGAGAGTTTGAGTTTTGCGATAGTTCTTTTGCTTTCGTTTTTTATGGCCAAATTTATGCGGCTCGCTCTCACAAATCACTTGGGTCCATTGTGCTAGGCTACATCATTTGGACACCTCGGCTCGGTGTGCGTGTGCATGTATGTGTGTGTAGCTCAAATTAACATATCCTTAGATCCTTCCGGCTGGCCCACTCAAATATGCTAAGCAGCTGAGCTGCAATTTGGCGGCTTTATGGCCACAGATTCAATAGGGATTCTTTTAGGGCCAGCGGAAAAATCAAAACTAATCTGCCATTTGCCCGCCCGCACCGCTGCAGCAAGCAGCAGATCTAACAGAATTCAGATTCTCTTTACTGGCTGTCGATGCAAATTTCACGGAATTTCCCCCGCTACACACCACTTCCCCCTCTCTCAATTTCTCTCTCTGCTTCAGGCTCTTAACTACTTCCTGTCCCGACAACGCATTTTGTGCCTAACAAGCGTGCGTTTCTCTCTGTTCTGCTCAGCTCTACTTTGTTCAGGTCTGCTCTTTGGTCTGGCCTTTGCTCTGCTCGCATCTTGTTGCTGCCTTTGTCTACTTCCTGGTCCTGCCCCTATCCTTATTCCTAGCCTACCCTGCTGTTCCAGCTTTGTGGTGGAGCGTCTTCTAATCAGCAATGATGAATAATTTGCATATATTTCCCCCCACAATTACAATGTTGCCTTTTTATTTGCATACCCCACGCCCCTCACTGGCTCTGCTTCAGGCACTGTTAACACTTTTCCTGACTTGGTGAGGGTGCGCATGTGTGTGTGTGCGGCGCATGCAGATTGCGATAGAATTCCCAAAATCTCCAAAGTGTAGCCGCGGCTCAACTGGAAGCTCAGCGCCTGGTGCCTATGCGTTCTGCTTGGCAAATAGTTGACTGCAGTTGTTGTCCTTAAAGATGTCCTGAAGCGTGTCTGCAAATACTTTAAAAACCTTACACTCCACTTGGATGGCCTATAAAAAATGTGTATTTATTTGAGCAGCAACAAAAAATCGGCGCACACAACTTTTTTCATTTGTCATTGAAACTTGGTCCTGGCTGAGAGCTGATCCTGCCGCTGCTGCTATTGATGGTGCTGGCTGGCATTGCCACAAACAAACATTAAACAATGACTGGCTATGGCTGCTCAATGACTGGCCTGGCTGGTGTGGGGAGGGAGGACCGTCGACAACGACAACAAAAAAAGTCGATTATTGAAAAGTTTTGTTTATTTTATGTGTTTATTATGCGCTCCGTTTGCCAAATAATGATCATGGCCAGAAATATTTCGTTTATTGAACTTTAGCAGCGCACGTAAATTGTTGCCTCGCCGCGCCACCACCACACCCCCACAGCTAAAAAAAAGCCAACCCCCTACTTTGGCGGGCTCTTGTGTTTTTGGTACCAATTCCCGCATTGTTGTCAAAGGAGAAACAAGCAAAATAATGCGCTGTCGAAGTTTTTATAGGCTCAGCAGCAGACACCCCAGAATACCGAACTCCCCCGCCCCCCTCACACCACACACTCAATATGTGCGCGAATATAAATTTCATAAAGTTTGGCCCGCTCTGGCATTTTGGCTCGCCAGCTTTTACGAGCGTAAATTACTTTCAGTTTGGCCTCCACACTAAAGATGAAAAAATAATGTGCGCCTGGCAAACTTTTGCACTTGTCCTGACTGCCGGGCAGCGGCCTGAACTGCGGCACACTTACAAAGACATTAGCCGAACGATGGGCCCCAAAGCTGGCCAAGTGAAGCGGACCACAATAAACAGCAATGCCCGAAGCCAACGGCTCTAAACTTTGCCAGTTGACAAATCTTTTAATGCAGCGAACAAAAAAAAAGAAAAGGATGCCCAAAATCGGAATAACTGGCAGCTGGTAGACATTTATTTACACTGTGTCACATGCTTGGTTGCAAGCATGTGTGACAAGCCGCACAATTTTTATGCTAAGGTGATGAGGCTAGTTAAAGTTGATCTAAGCATTCCTCCAGCTGCAACTCGTAAGTCTTAGTCTGCCTAAGCAATTGTTAGGAAACATTCGAATTTTGAGGATTGAAAAGTTGAAGAACAACAAATCTGTTGCAATTGTTCTGCATTCTCACTAACCAAATCCAAATTAAATGTGAATGTTTACTGAATAATAAAAACAAAGAAAATAACTGCCTGATGTGCTGTGCTGATTTCTATGCAGCTTAAATTAAAATGTTCATTTTTGAATATTGCTCTGATGGATTTTCGATTGCTTAAAAGTGTTCTGGCTATAAAGATGGCAGCAAATATATGCTTATGCCCAAAATAAGGGCAGTACAAAAAAAATGTTGTGTTTAGAATTCGTTCTATAATTTAAAGACTGATAATATGAATTTCGAAAGTAAAAAATATTTCAAATAAATAATTTGGTTAAACGGGCAGTTTTTAATATGCAAATATTTGTGTATGCTTCCAACTCTGTTGAAAACCGTAAGGTGGATATCGATATACTATTTTATTTAAAAACATTGGTCACAAATCGATATTTTTAGTTCTTAGGATGAAAGATAGAAGAAAGATATTTAGTCAGATTGCTCAAACAGGCATGTATTACACTTTATGTTATGGGAGATATCCCATGTTGTCTATTGCATGCATTGGCAAAACTTTATCGAGCTTCGTTTTAATCAATGTTGACAGTTAGTTGACTCTCCTAAGCTAACAAAAATCTCTAGGTCGAACCCATATCCCTTTTTGGAATTTTATAGGCTAATTGCATATAAAAATCGAAGGCCAGTGTGCCAGGATCTTTGTTGAAAAATCAGCTGCAATTTGTGGATTTACGCTGTTTGACATTTCTGGATTTAATGCGCGTTTGCTGTTGACATTATTCAAATGACGGCTTGCGTTTAATAAAAACCAATTTTGAACATTGACATGTGTCAGCCCAATATCGATTAGCCCCCCCGGACTCAGCGACTTGCTACTGCCAAACGCATGCCGCCCACTCGCGACCAATGTCTGACCACAGAACATTAAGTTATGTGACCGTCGTGCGGTCAGCTCTTGTGGTCATTTGGTCATTTTGTCATTTTTATTGTGAACATTGATGTAATGACGTAATGAGTTAATGGCGTCATTGTTACGACTGTTACCTCAATTTACGGCTGCAGCGGGCGAGCGCGTGACTTAATGCCACATGTTTAGGGGCGGGGCTATAAAAGTGCGTACTGCCAGCTAGCTCAGTAAGCCGCTTAAAGTCTCCAACATGCGCCTAATTAGAGCCACGATCGGCGGCCTCCACAATTGCTGGGCTATTCGATTGGAAAGCATAATTATTATCAAGCTGGGAAGCCACACGATTGAAAATTATATGGCCAATATGGCAAAAACAATCGTACGAAAATGCACATACACACAGACACACAGGCGGACATATGTAGAGGGGCGTGGCACTATAGACAACAAGGGAGCATTTAATTATGTGCAGCAGCCCAAACAACAACAGCAACAGAATTAATAATAATAATTGTGCAATACAATAACAATAGAGACAAGGATGCAAAGGGAGAGAGAGAGAGAAACAGAAAGAGGCGCACAATGTCATGCATGCGAAACAATATGCAATAAAGAAGAGATTCGCTAAAGGAAGAGAAAGAGAGAGGAAGGAGAGACGGACGGCGCAAGTGTTTGGCCAATTTTCTTTGGATACTTGAGATAAATTACCAACACAATGGCAAGTAAATTGCAAAGGGATATATGCAAGGATATGCAAGGATATTGCCCGGCATAGCCACACCGGCCAGGATGCCTGCCCAAAGCGAACCAACAATTAAACGGCCTGGCAAAATACCATTCGCAAGCACTTGGGATACCGTTTAAGTTTTAGCACTCAACTTTGCCAACTAACTATGGATTTAAATTACTTAGCAGAGTCTATGTCTAATCGAACTGTGCAACTTTTAAAGCCACAAAACCAAACGTTGAAGTTGCAGCTAGCGAAACAAGGCTTAAAATCAATATGTACACTTAGCAAAAAAACGAGAGCATTCTACTCAATTCAGAACCTTAAAATTTACTAGAACTCGGAATATATAATCATTATACAAGCTGAGCACTGAGTGGATTTAACTCGGGAGCTAAACTGCCTAAATCAGATTCAGGTCAAATACCAGGCTAGGGTGTGGATTTAGATAGATAGATGTAGATGTTGATGATGCGTATAAAAATTGATTTTTTGAAATTTTTCAAGAACTTTTCGTGCCCTGAAGTTCCTAAATACAGAGCCAAATATGAAATTTGCCTTAATAAAATTTTGCTGTGAGAATTGAGGCTTACGCGTTTATTCTTATTTACATATTTTGTTCCTTAGCCGAGATTTTTTGTTTGTTTTTCTATTAAATTTGCCTTTTAATGAGGAAGAGGGAAATTCTTAATTGAAAAATCTTTACACTCTAAAATTCCTAATTATACTCAATTCTATATAATATTTATTTATCTATGTATCTATCCATGGATATCTAAAGAAGCTTCAGCTTTATCTAGTATAATAATTTAATTTAAAAGTATTTTTGTCTTTATACAATGTTTTGATTTTAAATTTGAAAATCAAGATCAATGAAAACGTCTGCCCCATCCAAACAATGTAGTTTAATTTAAGTACAAATTTCTCAACTTGAGTAAGAATAACTTATCTTAACAGATTGGCTTCATCCTTGAAAAAGTGAACTCGAATAATATAAGATATTAAATACTTTCTTTGCGAACGTTAAGAGTAGCGATTAATTTTTTGAATATATAGCGTTTAAGTTAAGGATATTTCATTTTAATTTGCTTAAACTTTTTTCTTAAAATATAAATGTGTTTAAAAGAACGGCCATTTTCTCTGTGTGTATATTGTGTGTATGGGTTAGTATCTGTATGTACATTTTCTAAGTATGTAAGCATGTAATTGTGAGCTTGTAAATGTCCGCAAATTGCCTCAAAAGCTGCCGCTGCTGCAGCGGATATTGTGGCTACTGCGGCGTCGTTTGCCATGAAAGAGCTCGCTTATTAAAATTGTTGACTACCAGCCCTAGCCCCAGTTCCAATCCCAAACCCAGTCCCAGTCGCAGTTCTAGTACCAGCCACTTGCTCTCCACCCACAGCCGCCCACTGTCAGGCAGCGATTGGCATCGCATTAGTCGTCATCTGCATGACATTACATGCCGCAATCCACGTATTACATGCCACACACACGCAAGCACACACGCATGCACACACATAGACAAGTCGAAATGAACTGCTCTGTAAGTCGTCAACTGCCTTACAGTTATGACCATGGTATCCGGGGCATTGAAACGAGTGCTCATATTATTTATTGAATTCAATATGCGACTTCAGCCCGCTGACGGCTGTCGGGCATAAAGTCTCACCAAAGCGTGAAATTATTGAAAATATATCTATCTATGTACATCCACAGTAAGAATGCCCCCTGGCTGGCTTACATATAGATACATATGCAGCTAAAGATAGCAATAGAGCTAGAGATAGAGAAACTGTTAGACACAGCGCGTCCTTTGGTCCTGTGCAGAACAAACAGACAACGACTTTATTGTGAGCTGCTGCTTCAGTCCCTGGGCGGCATCTCCTTTTCATTTTTATTTGCCTTCATCTGGTCTTGTTTTACTCTTTTATTTTATATTTTGAGGTTTAGTTTTGGATGTGCGCCATGGTGCCATGATTTATTATAGTCGCATGCAGATTTACCAGCATATCATTTTGCTATACATATATATATATATTTAGGTATACTAATATATTTGTATTTATTTGAGCTCTATATATCCGCAACTCTTTCTGCTGTCTTAATAATCAATTGTAATTTTCTTTCAAATGCAAATATTCGTCTTTCTCATTGCGTTGCCTTCCTGTTGTCTCGGCTTCTTGCTATTTATTTTGGCTAAAGCAATCGCATATATGTGTCTATTATATTGCAGATTCGTTGCCAAAAATTGAATCAATCAAATGCATTTTGTCACAAATTTGGTTGAAATTCTCTCTCGATTTTAATTCATATGTAACGACTTTCTATGCAAAACCGAATAAGCAAAATAAAATAAAATGAAAGACACGTCACGTGTGTTAAGTGAACGACTAGCTAATACCCCCTACTCACTAACGGCAGCTTTTTAGCTGACTTTGTTAGCCTGAATGATTGGATCATATGCTCATTATAAAGAAAATGTCTGCTTGAATTAGTCATATACTTATTATTTAAACTTATTTAGTTTGAAGGGTTATCTATTGCTCTTCCAAGTTTTAAAATTAGGGCAGAAAAAAAACAAAATTGTGAGCTTAGATGTAAACAATAATTTATAAAACACCCGAAGGCCATTTGCCTGTTATATACCTTTGCACAACTTGATGCCACCCTATTTGCTCATGAGCATAATTACAGGGCATCAAATGAAATTTACAAAACTGAGAATCAATAAAAACCATAGTTAAGCTTTGGGCCCCAACACAAGTAGCTGCTTGCAGCCAAAACATTAGAATGCCTTAATAACAGCCCGGGGCGTGGTCCTTGCGCATGTACTTGAATGCGACGGCACCAAGCCGACATGGTCGTAATTTTTCTAAACAGCTGTAAAATAATTTTGGCCACAAATATAAATAAATTTGGGGCTCAAATTAAATAAAATGGGCCAGCCAACAATTGGCAGCCGCCCCAGTCGCAGTCTTTGCTTCAGTCTCAACCTCATTCTCATTGACATTCACATTCTGGGAATGTGGCTCGTTCCACATGCGTAACCGCCATTTTGCACTCATTCAATTTGCATTTGTGCGCATATTTATTCAAATTGTTTGTCGTCCTTGGTCCTTGATCCTTGGCCAGGGCAGCTGGGCTTTGCATATATTTCAGCTCTATGTACAACTGGACGCTGGACAGTCATTGTTTTTAGCCGAAAGCGAGGTAGTACCTCGACTACTGGCCATTTCTAATGTGTTTTTCCATTCACTTTCTGCCCGTCTCTGTTTTGTTTTGTGGTGTTTTTTTACTGTATTTATTTTTTGACTGTGTCCTTTTTGCAGTACCACCGAGGATTCATCACATTAGCACCGGCGGACATTTGCAAGTCAAAAAAGGTTCATCAGTGCGCATTGAGTGCTCGGCCTCTGGTAATCCAACGCCAAATGTGACTTGGAGCCGCAAAAATAATATTTTGCCCAACGGTAAGATTCTGCATAAGTAGGCCAAGCGAACGAACATCCAAAAAAATGGAGAAGATCCCAACCAGCCATCAACTGGTCAGCTATCCAACGGGCGGCGCAAATTAAAAGCATCAAGAATACCAAAAAAACAAAAAAAAAAGAAGTTGTGCAAAAGTAAATGAATATAAAAACTTAAACAATTTCCATAAAAATAAAAAGTCAAAGAAATTATTTGGAACGCATTGCCAGCGCCCGGACGTCCTGCCGCCGCGCCTCTTCTTTTATTATTGAATACAATTCCAGTCTGGCTGGTTGGTTGGTTGGTCTTTCCTTGTAATTGGCTCTGTCATTTCTTCGATGGCCACATTGTATTGACTCCTGGTCTTATGTTTCCTTTTTGATATTTACAGGCGAGGAGAAACTACACTCGCACGTCCTGTCAATCGAGAATGTGGATCGTCATAAGGGCGGCGTCTACATATGCACCGCCAACAATGGCGTCGGCCAGCCCGCATCCAGCCAGGTCGTGCTGCACGTCTTATGTAAGTAACAGTCACATCCTGCCAATGTCCTTCCGTGCCTCCTTCTCTTGCTCACCCTCACCGCGTGTGCGAGTGTGTGTAAATGGACCGTGTGCGCCTGAAAGCGAAACAAATTAATTTGACTTCAGTTGCCGCAACACCAATTGCTAGACACTTCAATTTATTTTGAAAACTGATTTCAATGGTTATTGGCCCCGCTGAAAACTACTTAGACATGCGCCTTTGGCAATTGCCATTTACACACACCGTACGGTGAAGACCAGCCAGCAAATACTTCGGCTTGCAATTATGGGAAGTGCCGTGTCGGACCGACATTTATTTAAAAATTTATATGCAATTTCGATGAAAGTCTGTGGCAAAGGTTATTCCATACAATTTTCCAGCGCAGCCAACAGCTAATTATATAGGGCAGCAGAGCCCCGCAGACCTCCTTCGGAGATGTGCCATTGATTTTTGCCTTTGTTTTATTTTATACTTTTTCTTCTTCTTGCTTTCCGTTTGCTTTTCACGTTGTTCACTAATTTCCTTAATATTCTCTGAGACCTAACAAAAAAATATGCTTATATATACCCCTTACAGATCCGCCAGAAATCTCCGTGGAGCGTCCCGTTGTCTTCTCCGGCGAGGGGCACGAGGCGATGCTGGTCTGCATCGTGCATGGCGAAACACAGCCTGAGGTATGTTTTAATTAAATTTGCCGCATAAATTTTCATTTACGCGCTGGCGCTCACTTGGACATAAAACAGCAGAATCTACCACAAAATCCATTAATATATATACACACACATGCGCATACACATACCACATTTGCAGGCACTGTTGCCAGCTCAAGAACAATCGAGGCAATGCCGAAAATTGGAATATAAATTCATATGTAGCATTCTTCTTGGGGCTTAAATGCTTTAATCGTCTTTGGCAACAATTGCTTCTCAATTTGGCAGCAAATCATGCGCAGTTGGTACTCAAAAGCATATCTAAACAGTTCCAATCAGCTGAGGGGACATTAATTAAAAGTCTGCAAACTGCAAATTGAAGTGCTGCACAAAGCATAATTTTAACCAAACATGGCACGAATACCTGACACAAAGCAGCTGCATAAGCCAACAAAGAGCGTTAATCAAAAAATTACTAATAAAAAAGCTCTTTTGCACTTTGGCATGTCGAATTTTAAATACCCTTTACCTGAATAGATTTGTATAAGAGTATTGTCCTATAGTATTGGGTTTGGGGATCTTCGAAATCTTACAAAATGGATGCATATGCAGGATTTCCTAACAGCCTTTGCCTATATCAGTCACATAATACAGTAGTCCAATTGTGAGAATTCAAAAACCAAATAATTATTTGGTCTTGATATTTCTAAAAGCAAATGGATTTTTAATGCTTTTTCCTTAAGGACCTAATAGATTGTGATAGAGAGATAGAGATAGAGATTAAGGTAGACCTAAGGAGATAGATATATATTTTATTAAAGAATATATATTGAGTGTACATCTAAATGGAACTTGTGATTGGTAAGAATGGGATATATTTTTAATATCATGGCTGCTAAAACGGATGTGGCTAAGTACGAATGCTGTAAAGGGAATTCAGGCTCGAACAGAATTGATTAAAACAAGATTTGTTTTCGTATTCATTTGATGGGACTTTGCTTGGTCAATATGTGTTCTTTATTTCACAATACATGTTATGATAGTTTTCTCCTACGCGCTTTGACGTCCAATCGCGCTTTGGTCATAAAGTCCCTTTACATAAATATTTTTTCCCGTCAGACATACACATTTTTTGGCCTGATCTTTTAATTTTGTAAGCTCGATATTTGAATATAACAATTTAATTTATATAAATCACATTATATATGCTTAAACTAGCGAGTATTGCCCGGCGTTGACCGTGCAACGTTTTGTGCAACAAATTTTTAATATTTCATGAAAATGAGTTTGACGTCGGTCGGATGGTAAACAAAATAGTTCTATTAAATTTCATTAAATGTTCACATTCATCACATAAGGTAGCTACTGTAAAAATTGCAGCTTCCTAGGTCTCACGGTATGGGTGGTACGTTTATCACCGATCAGTCAGTCAGCCTGTCAAGACAAACAGTTTCATGTATACAGATATTCATCAATACATAATTAATACGTATTCTTATGCCTGGCACATTTTGTCAAAGAGAATTATTATACCCCTTAAAAGCATATTACAAAGTGAAAGAATATGGATATGCTTAAACGCACACACATATATGTGTGCATAACATTTTTTTGCTGCTGGGCAATTTTTTATTATAGAGAAGTATTTATTTTTGTGCTTTGTGCCTTTGCCGACATTTAAATTAATACGCTTGGCTATAATTCAAAGTAAAATTGCGGAAGTTGCCAAAGCGGAAGTGTGAAGCGGCGAACAGCCAAAAAGGGAGCAGTAGCCAGACCAGAGCAGAGTCGGGCAAAAAAATGCTTTCAAAAAGCTGAAACAGACCGGGAGTGAGAAAGAGAGAATGAGTAAGTGTGTGAGTATGTTTGTGTGTGTGTGTGTGTGCGTGTTTGTGTTGTAGTGTGTGAGACCGAGAGAGCGCTAAATAATGACTGGAGACCGCAAATGTCAATGCTTAAAATTATACAGCGTCGGTTCGCTTCAGTTTGCTCGGACACTGAGTGACTCCGCAAACCTCTTGCAGGCGCCTCTTACCATTCACCTAAGACCCCCCGCTGGTTCTAGGAATTTTTGGGGCGTTACATTACGTTTTTATGCTATTTAATTTTTCATATTTTTTGTGCGCTCGTTTTGTGGCCGCAGAAGAGTTGACTCTGTACTTTCCCAGGAAAAGCGCCAACTACTTATTTACTTTTTTTTTTTTTTGTATATTTTTGCTTCGTTCTCTCTTTGCCACAACTCGTTGCAGCTGAGTTCTGCAGCTCTTTGTTTGTGCTGCTGGACACATTTCATTATACGACAAGTTGCACGCCTTACGCCTGCTTCACATTCTACATGCCAAAGGGGGGTGGGCGGAGCGATTGCTTGCAGATGGGCATGGCATTTGTAGTCTTTGAGAATGACATTTCCTCATGCAATTTTTACCAGCGGCCCTTCGATAGCCGCACCCCCTTGCGTTGCCCACTCGTCATTTGCTGTTTTATGACTCTAGTTGAATGTATACAATTTAACGCTTCGTTCCCGCTGCCTGTTCATGCCACACGGCAGGCAGCACGATAACGAGCCTTGCAACTTGCAACAGCTCACAGCGTGTGTCTGCCTTACAAATTTGTATATTTCCAGTAGCCAACCAACGAAAGTTTCTGCCCCATGCTGTTGATAAACTGTGTTGCAACACTGCCCTGCAGCAATACAAATCCCTTGTACAAGGGGTATCAAAAAGTTGTGCTCGTATATGCATCAGCCGGAGAAGGCATATGCGAATTAATCAGGCATATGTATGTGTATATAAATATTCTTGAACATCATCAAAAGCCGTCTTTAATGGTAAATGTGTGTGTCTTAAGCAGTTGAAGGAGCTGAAAAAATGGCATATATAACAATTTGTGTAAAACATAATTAGACGCCAGCTGAGGTTACTTTATTTTCTTTAACGATGTGCAACGCGCTGAAGTTACCGCACCCACATGGTGTACATGGGGTTGATCGGTATTTGAATATATGTGAACATGAATATGAATATATAAATCCAATAAGTCAGTTTTCAAGAAAACTGTCAGGAAAAAATTGAACTCTTATATAAGACAGTTTTTCATTGATATCTGAACGCAGCTCAGTAATTACGAGATTAATTGTGCTTTGAAGCATGCTGCTCATGAGCAACATCTTATTTATATCGAACTAACCTATCAGAAAGGCTGCTACAAAAGCGTCTGAAAGAAAACTACAAATTTGTATAAGAGAGTTAACATCTGCTATATGTACGCAGGCCTTATCATACGTATATAATCGTCACTTTTTAAAAGCAAGTGGATATACAATGCAAACAAAATATACTGCATAGGTATATGTTGTACGGACAATATACATATAATACGTATATATCTTCTGTACAACAAGCAGAAGCGTAAGATTTTCGATGTATATACACTTATGTAGATTACGTATGCATGCAAATACATGTGTGTACAGTAAATTAAAGGCATGTTTAGGCACATAAATTTCTTTGTTTATGCTCAATACAAATGTAAGATAAATAGCATGCTGCTTGGCTATTCTATCGGGCAACAGGGGGTAACTTGCCATAGAAGTACCTCTATTTTTTTTCTCGGGCTTCTTAATTAATTATTTCACATGCTGATTGTAAAGCAGCAAATATTAAATTAATTTATATGTCAAAGGTTGCAATTTCTCAATAATATTTAGGAATTTTACTTTAATTATCAAACGAAATATTATCCATTTCAAGCACTGCGAAGTACTTTTGTTATTACAATTGTGGTTAATAAAGGACGTTTTATTGGCTTATGAAATACTTTGGTTGATTAAATCACAAATTAATTACAAAGAGTGTAGTTACATTGCAAAATTATTAGGAAATGTGACAATTGGCAAGCTTTATAAATTGATGAATTGCTGACTTGATGAGTTATCTACGGAAGTCCATTGATATTGATTGATAATATGCAGCACGTTGGCTGTGCTGCAGGTTGGCGTGGCATGTGCATCACAGAATGTTGCGGCATGACGCATTTTTAATTATGCTTTGACAATGGCTGCCCGCAATAATAAGCCAAATGACGCAAGTTGTAGAAAATCCGCCAGCTCTCTGAGGGCTATTAATTATTAAGCATGCATTAAAAGACCTGCAGATACACACACACACACACACACACACAGCCGCGCACCTGTCTGGCGTGTGTGGCATTCACACGGATTTACATGTGTGCATATTTACATATTAATTAGGAACTGCGGCATATGGTCTGGCATATTCATAATCCATTGATAGATATTGTTGATTTGTTGCATAATGAATACCATAAACAGGCACTAAACCACAAACATCCACCGCCCCCTGTGGCGTGCCAGCAATGACAGCCGGCCGGCTGCAGACGGGCAACAGACAACAGGCAACGGGCAACGGGTAACGGGCTGCAACATTGTCATTAGAGCAATTGTCATTAACATGAGCGACAGCAATGAGACAACATCATTATCAACGTCAGCGAGAGAGGCATTGTTGTTGTTGCTGTTGTCAGCGTCATCGATGTCATTGATGTCGATGTCAGGCGCATTAAACATGCAGCAGCATTTGACAGAGCTATCAACAGCTAACAACATTAATGGGTGTTGCCTGTACAGGAGATCCCCCTCCCTCCCTTCCCTCTTCCATCATCAGCCCATACACGCACACAGCACCCAGCTAGAGGCCATGCAGCTTAATGCGCTGTCATCGCTGGGTTCCGGCCATGTTCGTTGTCATTGCTTTTAATTATTTTGCAAATTAATTTTCAAATTGGTAATTTTCTTCACATTTGCACACACACATACACACTTTTCTAGTAAGCCGCCACTTGCCAACGACAGGCCTAATGAGTTTTTATGTTGTGTGTAGCATCAACTGACGCTGTAATTGACTACAAGTTGGCCTATTTGCAAACAGACGCCCCTGGCGTATGCTCACTCGTATATTGTCATCCGAAATTGGAAGTATTTACAGAGTTGATGTCTGGTACTTAATTACCCTGATTTTATTAGGCTCAACTAAGCATTAAATTTCGTTCAGTTTGAAATCAATTTAAAATTTGATTTAATCAAAGTTGAAAGATTTTTTAGGAGCGTAGCACTATTCTGAGGCTTTAATAACGTGAACGCTATTTAAACTCGTATAGATGTTGACGTTCTAGTTTCTCCCTCGCTAGGAGAGCTTGATTTGCCAAAATGAGTAGAGAAATTAGGGAGTCATTCAACTAGTTGGTCGATCAGTAAATTAGTCAGTCAGTCAGTGAAATAACCTAATGCAATGATCAATGATCATCAATCAATCATTCAAACACTCAGTCAGATCAGTTGTTAATTAGTCAATTAATTAGTCAGTTAGTCAAGACGTCTGTTAATCAAACAGCCAATCTATCAGTAACTCAATCACTTGGTCAGTCGGCTGGTGCATTCAGTCAATTTGAAAGTCAATATTTCACTCTATCATTCAGTCAGTCAATCCGCCAGCCACTCAATCAGTTGGTAAATGAGTTAGGATCGTTGTAATCAAATGTCTTTATAATTATATGCATGAAAATTGAATATTTAATCATACTTTTAGTAAAGAATAATTTAAGAACTTAGCTTTCCTTACGAATATCCTGCAAAATGACTACCTTCCAATATTACCTTGAATAATTAAACTTTTAATTACCTTTCCAGCTGATGGCGTAATTATTTAATGTTATTCAGCTTCATCGACGTATTTAATGATTCGCATTATAATTTATTTACTATTCTGTGAATTACGCTCACAAATATAATATTATTTATGTTTTATTATCCATGCGATTGGTAATGATGTTGACGCACTGAATTAATGTTGAATGTGGCTCTGAAGAGTCGCTCTTGAAGTTAAATGAAGCGAATGCTTCACTCGCTGCGCTCATTTGATTTTTAATTAGAGTCTCTGCACTTGGCCAGCTGAAGAGCTGAAGGGCGCGTAATTATTGTTTGAATAATGCGGAAATTGACAAACATATCGTATGATTTGAGTACAATTATCAATTTCTGACGTGTTATTAATTACGACAAATTATTCATTACACAATTTCCATAGGAGTTTTCTAGTTCAATCGGAGAAATGGAGTTGGCAGTAGTTGTTGAAGTGGTGACAACAGGCAACTGGCGGCGACTTAAGTCAATCGCTTGCCATTAGTAGCAACACTTGCTACACACGCACACACACACACACACACACACACACACACACACACACACACACACACACACACACACACACACACACACACGCCCACACACACAATGCTCAAAACACACTCATGTATGTGCGTGCTGGCGACCTACGTTGCGTATGCGTAATTATTTTCTTTATGTTTGACGGACAGGCTGAGAGTCGCACTGAATGCGGCCTGGAGGGCAGCACTCGACACGCAGCTGCGCCTCGCACACGCACACACACACTCACACACACAGACACACGCGCACCTAACAACACTTTTCCGTTAACAATTTCCGCTTTGCCACCCAAGTGGGTATTTGCAGCATTGAGTGTCAGCCAGTCAAAGGCAAAGTCCCAGCTGCTTCACAAGGAAGCACGCAAATTTTCTTCGGCTCCTCTTTTGGGGCGGCTGATTAGTGTTGATTGGCATTTCTCGCTTTGCTGCTCATCAATGCTAATTTTTTTGTGTGCTTCGAATTTGTTGGGCTGCCACAAATTTGTTGTTGCTGTGGTTGTTGTTGTTGCAACAAAAGCAGTTTGCAAATGAAGCGCAAGTGCAAAAGATTGATTGACGCAACATTTTGCGTTGGTGTTGGATAATGATGAAGTGCTCGGCATTGGGCCAATCAATCGCCTGTCTACGATTACTATAACATAGAATTACAATCAATGAGCACAATTTAATAAAGCAAAGTAATTAATGCGCTTAGCCAAACCAAAGGTGGCCAAACAAACTCACGCACACACAAAAATATGAAACACAATCATTTTTTTGGGTTTTTTTTTTGTTTTTGGCAATTTTGTGCCATGTCAACACTTACGGCTCGTTACGCACGGCTGAGCGACAGGGCCCGTAGCCAGATGCGGAACATGATGCTGATGATGTTGGCCATGGCTGATGAGCGCGGCTTAAATAAAGGGAAAAGCGTAAAATCAACAACAGCTACAGCAACAGCTACAACGAGGCCAAACAAAAGGCATGGAAAACGCAAACATCAACATTTTGCACAAATAATAACAAACATTTATGGCATGACGGCATAACTGTAACTACACACGTACAGCGCAGTATCAGAGTGTGTGTACGTGTGTGTGCGAGTGTGTGCCTGATATATATGACAACACATGTGCAACGTTGACAGCCATTTTAATGGAATATGCGCCAAAACAGCGCCAAACCCGAATGGTCAAAGAGACAAACAGCAAATGTGTTTGCCACATGGTTGGACAGCAAATATATAATCCCAGGCAGATTACAAAAACTCTATATATATTTATATTCAAAAACAAGTCAGACGTAAGCCCAAATGATATCCATTTATGGCTATTTGTAATATGTTTATATTTAATATAATATGCCCTAAGTATGATTATATTTAATTAAAATGATTATCATGGATGAAAGGGCTACACGAGCTACCGCTGGTTCAGTTCACGGTTCGAACCACCTTAGATTCGGTTAAGGAACCTGGCATCCACAAGCATAAGGGCAGAGCTGAGATTAGGCCTAGTTCTTCCCAACTACTAATGAAGGCTAACCTTTTTTTTGGTTTAAGATTCAGTCATTATTGAAAAAATGGGAATCTCGAATTCGAGCCAGCTCGGTTCCAGCTGGTTGCAGCCATTAGTATTTTTTTTATTTTTTATTTTATTTTATTCTTGTTTTAGACAATACACAGATAAAATTTAAAAAAAAACTTTACTTAGTGTTTCTTTTTATTTATTTATTTTATTCCTTATTTTTTGTAGTCTTTAGGGATTATAACTTAATCAAACGAATATTTACAGCTAACTATATCTATAGCTGTCTTAAGTTTTCAAATTTAATTTTCTCTTGCAATATTTCATATGCCTTTTTGTTTACTCACATTACTTATCTTACCCACTGTAGAAGATTCGGGCTTTCTATATTTGCTGTACTTTCATTTGTTCTATATATAAAGATATCTGTTTATTCTCTTTTTGCAATGTATATTCGTGCGGATGGTTCTTGTTGTTTTGTTTATTTTTTTGGGGGCTTCTTTTTTGTATGTGAGTCATGCGTGGAGCACCTGCTGCTACCCGTTTTCGGTGTTAATTCGTGCGTTGTGCCCTGGCGCGGCATCTATCCGTCGGTTGCCTCTCTGAGGCCTGTCAAAGCTGCCGGTACAACGCACATGTGAACAAACAGCAACCGGCTAGAGGCAACCGGCAACCGGCAACCGGCAACCAGCAGAGTCGGCAAATTTCACAGGGTCTAAAGCACGATTCGTTGCCAAAACACGCACAAGGATCCCCCTGCCCTGTCTTTATCCAAGGCGCCCACTCTATTTGGAGCCTGTCAGACAAGCGCCACAATACTAGTTAGTCCTGGGCTGTGGCTCTGTGTGTGCAGAGGATATGAGCGCACTTGACATACGAAACAGGCTCTTGAAATAAATATTCTTCAGTTGTCATAATATTCACAAAAATTAAGAAGCTAGCAATCAGAAGCACAACTCCGAGCTTATATTTATTTTGGGGCACAGGCGACACAATTTTAGTATGAAATTCTATTAAAATATTATAAATATTTATCAGAAATATTTATTTATTTGCTGCATAACATTTATTGAATTATTGAAATATATAGAATTACAGAACTGTTCATGTGATTGTTTCTATAACTAAATCAAGTAAGCTTCTTGTTCTTTCGCTTAGGCTGGCGTGTACGAACAATTATTTAATATTTAATAAATAGTTTAATATATAATAATAGGAAAGGAAACAAAGGCCGCTTAGAATTCGGGTTTTCCCAATTCAATGGAACTAGTGGAGATGTTGAAAATGTGAAGTGTGTACACAGGCAGGCAGTCGGGAATGGTTAAATCGTCAAGGCGTGTCGTCCTAATCAAGAATATATATACATATTATATATATATATATGATATATATTTGAGGTCGGACACAATTGCACAAACCCATTTAACCACAATAATAATTGAAAAATAATTATAAATAATAAAATATATAAATGAAAATAAAATAAATTGAATTTAAAAGCACATAAAAGATTATTTGACAAATTGTAAGGCGCTTAAATATAATCAACTAGTAAAGCTTATGCGAATTTTTAAAATCCCTCGAAAGCATTTATATATGAGGTATATTTGGTTTCCAATTAAGTGATATCGACTGAAAAACTTGGATTACCCGGATTGAAGCGCATAAAATTCAATGTTCAACTATTTGAGCTGAAGTTAAGTCCGTGCAAATGGCTGCAACGCGATATATATGAGAGAATTTGCTGCAAATCACTTGAAATTTTTCGCACCTCGCAGCTGACAGCTCATCCTACGCTATATATATACACACACACACATGCATATATATATATATATATATATATATATATATACACAGTCAGTGAGACGCCAATTTACAGCTACTCAGACACTCTGACACTCATTGAGTTCGCTTTTCGATGTGGAGAGTTGGTTGTGCGATTGCTTCATGTTAGTGTTCGTTTTCGTTTTCGTGCTTGCTCGCTGCGATTGACCAAGTTTTCAATTATTTACAGGTAATTTGGTTCAAAGACACCATGCAATTGGACACCACCGAGCGGCACATCATGGAGAATCGCGGCTCACGTCACACGCTGATTATACGCAAAGTGCATCCGCAGGACTTTGGCAACTACTCTTGCGTGGCTGAGAATCAGCTTGGCAAGTCACGCAAAACTCTGCAGCTGAGCGGAAAACCGAATGTTGCCGTTTTTAATTCACCGGCAATCAGTCAATACAAGGACAGGTAAGGCTTCACACTCCATCACAAATGTTCCGCCTGCCGTTCGATTGCCAGACAGACAGGCAGTCGGTCGTTGCAGACACGTGCCCGTCCACGTGACTACGTGCCACATACACACACACTCGTACACTAGAAAAATTGCGGAGGGCTTGACTTCAGTTGAGTTGAGTTAACTTCAGTTCAATTGAGTTCAATCGACCACGCAGTAAGCTGAGCGCCTAATTAGCGGAGCATAGTGCTCCGATTTACGCGGCGTATACGTTACAGGTCATTAAGTGTGCGCCAACGAGACGGACATTGAAAAAATTGAGTTACATAAAAATACCAAATATCAGTTTTTCAGACAGTGCAGCATACAGAGACAGCGGCTTTATTAGATTCATTTCGTTGAATGACACAAAAAGTGTGGGTAAAGTCGGACAACTGTGTCGTATACGTAACAAATAAAACTTTTAATTGGATTAGCTGTCATCAGAAGCATACAGAGCCAGACAGACGCACTCACACACACACACTTGGCTATAAAGACAAGCAGCCAAGCGACAAACAAGCTCACATCTCACTGTCACACACACACACACAGACATAAGTACGGCACAGTCAGACACAGCGACTGACAAAGGCATAGACAAGCATTCAGATAGCTTTAGACCCACCAAGCTACCAGCGATTGGCATTGGCACCTTTCAATAATTCAACTTGAATTAAGTTCAATAAGCTAGAAAAAAAATATACATAAATATATATTTATACATTTATATATATATATATATATATATATATATATATATATATATATATAGATATATACAGATATTGCCATTGGAAATGTGCAAAATTGAAAATGCTAAGAAAAAAAGGTCGAGCACATCAAATAACTTGCACATAATATGAAATACCAAAGCCAATTTATGAAACTACAGTGCCTCCTCGCAAATTGTTAGCTAAGAAAAATGCAAGATTTCTGAAATGAGAAAACCCATTTTTATGCAACTTCGTAGCATTTTCTTTTGCATTGAAAATGTTCACATATTTTTTATGCAATTTTGGATGTTATAAAATATAGTCATAAAATTTAAATTAAATACATAAAGTTACTTTTAAGAAGCACAGGGGATCTGTTTTCTTGCATGCAGATATATTGATATGTTAGTAAGAAATAAAATGGTTTCTTGAAAGCAAATATCCAAGGCTCCAGAAATTTGAACTAATTTGAAATATTATTATTATTATTATTATTATTATTATTATTGGCCGTGCTCAATTTCATTAAAGAAAAGCATTCGTCTCAAAAAGCAAATTTTAATTTTCTAGAAATGAAAAACCAAAATTCGAAATTGCGAGCATTTTTTTAATATCTTCAATTTTCAATGTTAGCTTTCAAGTTCAAAATAAATATTAAATTATTATAATATTAAATATCATTAGCTGCGCAAATGATGATTTATTGTTTTTAAAGAGCACCTACTGTAATTCTATTATGGGCTAGCCGCATTGCGTTGCGCATACGCCGCGCATAACAAAGTTTTACTAGACAAATGCGAACATTGGCATTGGCAATGGGTCCCTCAGAGAGAATGGCAATGGTTTTTTTTTTTTTGAGGGGAGATACTGAATGGGATTCGGTTTGTCAACACGACGCTGATTTCATTTTGGTGCCTGTGCCGGAAACTGCTGCCGGCAATTAAGGCCGGCAAATTGTTGGCCTGTGGATTCAGACACGGCAGTGAGGGGGCGAGCACAGTCGGCGCCTGGCGCCAGTCGCTGCCTCTTCAATTGTTCATAATCATTTTTATTGCCTGCCTTACTTTGATGCTATATGCGAAAAGTTGCTCTGATTGGCGTTTTATGTTTTTATTGTGCTCAGGACTTCAGGTTATTAGTTCATATGGCTCAATAAGCATGCAAAAAAGAAGAGGAAAACACACACAACCCGCAGAAAAAAAAGTAAATATAAGTATAAAAATAAAATTACGTACATATTGAAGCCAAAATATATGCCAAACACAAGCAAAGTTACAAGCACAAATGGCAGCCGCTTTGGCATTTGGATAAGTTCGCTTGTTTATGGCCTTTAACTCGTCCTCCTCCCTGCTCGCAAGTCCCTTCGCGCGCTCAACTGATTAGCATTCAAATTGTGTGCCGAGTTTATCGCAAAGCAATGAACTAGCGCCTTTGTAATGTGAATGCGTAGGGGAATGGGATTGCGAAGGGGAATGGGTATTGGTTATGGCACAAGGACAACAAGGACGAAGCGCTTGCTTGTAATTAGTTGTTTACTTGAACGCTGGCTGAATAGTTTCGCCTCTCGATTACCGCCATAAATACAGCCGAAGTCTGACGGCAATTGTTGTTTTTGTTGCTGCTGTTGTAAATATAAATGCGTTTGTTAATGAGCCGTTCGCTTAAAGCTGAAGACAAATGGTAGGCAACTTAAAGCTGAGGCCAATGGCCAAAACTGCATTTGGCAGTGTGTGGCCAGTGTCTGGCAGTGGGCGTGGCATGTTGTTAGCTTTTCGGTTGAACGAACGAAACGCATTGTGCTATGAGGGAAGGACAAACAAAGGGCCAATAACAAAAGTAGAGAGTGTAGCAACAACAGCAGCAACAGGGACTACAGCAACAACAACAACTTTATGTGCGGTATCTTAACCCCAGCCATTGTCAGCATTGATTATGTTTCTGTTGTCGCAGCAATTGTTGTTGTTGTTGCTGCTGCTGCTGCTGCTGTTGATGTTGATGTTGCGTGCTGCCCGCCTGACTGCAGCAACATGGCTTCATATCAAATTTAACAATTACATATTGATTGAGTTCGCCTTAAAAATAAATCTGGCGTCAACTGTTGCACGCAACCAGCAACTAACTATCTCACCCACGCTTTTTTTCTCTCTCTCTCTTTGGTGCTGCTGCTGATGCAATATGTGTAGATACAACATCTCGTGGGCGGTCGACTCGCATTCACCCATCGAGGAGTACAAGTTGTCCTTCCGCAAGCTGCCACAAGGACATGAGGTCGTTGACAATGCCATTGACTCGCAATCCTCGTCGTCATCGTCCTCATCCTCCTCCTCGTCGTCCTCGTCTTATGGCGCTGCCAGCCACAATCATCGCATTGGCAGCAACTTGGCCAACTATGGCGGCTATGGCAATCTGATGCGCTGGGGCCACAACGATTGGCGCGATGTGGTGCTGCCCGCCGTTCCACTGTCACACCACTATGCGCAGGGCATGAGCTACATGGTACGCGGACTGGATCCAGATCAGCAGTATGAGGCCACAGTGCAGTCCCGGTAAGTAGCACAACTTAAATAAGCAATCTCTAAAGCGAAGACATGGAAATATATCTCTAGGTTTCCCAATATAACATACGCTTGCAAATATATTGCAGATTTTAGGTTTATTTGTTTGCTTTGCAACACACTGATGTTTTCATTTATTTGAATTTCCTTCTGGGTATTTTATACGTAGCTAAGATTGGTTGAAAATCTAAGAAAAAATAAACCAAAAAAGTCAAAAACAAAAGCTTTATAATTTAATTCCAAGAAACACGTATATTATGATATGGTATGATATATATAGGACTTTTCGCAAATGTGAACAGGATGTTACAACTCGTGTAAACCAAGTTAAGTCAAGATGCCTTTAAAAACAAAAAAGTTTTTTATACAAAAGCTTATGTAGTAGCCCAATTCAGCCGATTCCAAAGCGAAAACTATGAAAAGTTACAAAGAGACGGCAAAAAATCAAGGGTAGATAGATACTGACTAGAATATAAGATCCGATAGCTCACCTTAAACTTACTACGTGCTATGTGCCAGGGTTTTTCAGTTTGATTCGCTAGCGTGCAACACACATGTTGCATAGTTGCATATAAGTGCCGCACAATTAATTGTGGCAGCTGAAGCAGCAACAACATTAATGCCTGTTAAATTTATTTATCCATTCACAGCAATCGCTATGGATGGAGCGACTTGACTAACAGCTTCTACTTTTCAACATCGTCAAATGGTAAGTGCTGCCCGCTTTATAATTATATACATTATATACATATATATCTCGATATAGTACATAAAGCATATAAATATGCCATAAATATGTATAGCATATCAAATTTTAAGCCTGGCGCATGCCTGCTGCTCTGTGTGTGTGTTTAATAAGCTGTTCACACACACACGCACACACAGGCATGCTTATGCATGCGCCTGGCGCTTATGCTACACTTTTTTATTGTTATTTTCAAGCTTCTGTTGTGATATTTTTTGTTTTTTGCTGACTGCATGCATAATAATTTGGTATTAAGTGCTACTTCCAATGATAATCCATAAAAATCACAGTGCTGCGTCATGAAAATCGCGTTACACATCAGCGCAACATCCACCCCGCTCTTCAACAACTACAAAAATAATTTGTTGAAAATTAACGCATTAAAATATACATAAAAAAAAAGAAATTGTTGTAAGACATGAGCAATTAATTGCTGCATTAATTCTCGCGCACACTCATTAATAAAATTTTCCGCACATATATTAAGCATACGCACTGTAGTCTTTTGCCACAATTGATCGACTAATTGCAAAGGCCGGTACGTTGCTAGTTTGACTTTGCATAATGAGCGTGAAAAATCAAATAAATACATACACGCACACACACAGTACATACGCGCACAGCAATGCAAAGCACTAATTGGATGCGCGCACACACACGTACACACACACATTTCTTAAGAGTTGTCGTTGCGGTAATAAATAAACAAAGATGCGGGGCGTCGATTGGGTTTTGCGTTGGGCAGACAGGCAGCAACTCAGGTGGCAGGTGGCATGCAGGTGGATCGCATTTAAATGCGCAAACGAAAACCATTTATATGCAAAACTATTGTTGCATTGCATACTCAATGAATGCCGCATTGGCAGAGCATGAAGCAGCCAGGCAGCAAGGCAGCAAGGCAGCGTGGCGGCAAGTCGCATAAAATGTAGCGCGCGCGCTTGGCTAACCGTTTTACCCCATGCAAATGACGCATATTTACCCGTGCTCTGGAGCCACTGGCAGCAGCAGCAGCAGCAGCGGCAGCTACCCCCCAATCCACCAGCTACATCTTTTGACTGTGAAATGCATGCAAATGCGAACGCAGCGCCCGGCATTCAATGCCGCCGACTGGCAAACAAACGAATAAATATGCAGACAGGCCAAGAGAAATGCGCAATAAACACGCACACACACAGAGAGAGATAGAGAGAGAGAGAGAGAGAAAGAGAGGGAAAGAGGAGCGACGCGAGAAGCGAGTCAGAGACTGCCAGAGAGGGAGGACAAAGCGATACGGTGAAATTAAATCAAGTAAAACGTGCATGCCACACACTCAACCCGACACACACACACACACAGCTGCAGTATCGATGTCACTTGTGCAAAACGTCTTTTGCTTTTGACAGGTGCGCACATACACAGACAACCAACTGCAAACGACTTCATTACGCGCTATTGTAAGGCGCATAGTTCTCGCAACTGCTGCATTGCAACGCAGCGTTTTGTGGCAAGTCATTGGCGTGCATTGTGCTAATGGAAATGACTTCATTATATTTTCGAAACGTAAACAATTTACGCAATTAGCGGCAGGACATGCAATGCAGCAACGGCAACAGCAGCAGCAACTGCCACAGCAGCAGCAACGCCTGCCACCTGGCAATCGTGGCAAGCGCCAACTAATGAGCCCAGAGTGTCATAACTACAGCAACAACCGCAACAACAACCACTGGCAGAGCGGTTATGACCACAATGTCAACAACAATGGCAACCATTGCCGACAACAACGACAGCTAAGCACAACAAGCACACTCGAGCCAACTGTAGCAAGGACTTGCACGCGCGCACAACACACACTCACACACACTTACACGCACACACAAACAGATATTAGCAGTTCATTTACCTGGACGACGTGCTCTGCAAGTCGACCAGCTTGGACAACAGCAGCTAAGGGCCACAGCAGCAGCAATTGCTCCCGTTTTTACTGCTCCTGGTGCTGCTACTGCTGCCCCAACTCGTGGCACTTTGGCTGGCCATGCCACTAAAAGAAAACGCCAATTGAGTGCCGTTGCAGACACAACACAAAAAAAAAAACAACAACAACAATCAACGCACACATATGCGCTCGTGTGGAGTCACAAACATATTTACATACTATCTATGCTAGAGTGTGTACGTGCATGTGTGAGTGTGTGTGTGTGTGTGAGTGTGTGTATGAATACTCGTTGGGAGTGAAGCAATTGCGAATTACATTTTTGCAAGCCAAAATAGAATTGCGGTGCTACAGGTCAACACTTAGGCTAAGTCAATTGACAGCAACAAGTCAAACGAGAGGGGAATAAGAGAATTTTCACATTTTCATACTTGATCCCAAATTGGAGAAGAGCAATTTTGTGCTCTGTCCTAGGAAATCTTAAAGCTTGGATATATATATATTGCACGCGCGACAGATAGTGTTCAGATTATATGGCTACATGGCTGTGGGCGATAATTCTTGATAAAAGTGGCATATTTAAAACAATTTTTCAAATGCTAACGAATTTTATCCAGTCGAATGAAGCGAGCTTCGGTAAATAGTTGTATAAGATGTGGGTTTTAGATATTTACAAGAAGGGAGCCATTTAAAACTATCGCTGATTAGAAATTTTTCTGTCCTGTAAAAGTTAGCTTTTACTATAATTATATTAATAGATATTTTATTTTTATTTAATATTATTTTATTCCCTGTTTGTATATGAAGTAGTGAAATGTTTTCAAAAGTAATCCGAATATCCATCTAACACAAAATTAAATTGGGAACACTTTAAACTTTTATCTAAAAACACAAGCTCTTGGCAAAAAAAAAATTATTAAATTTAAAGCCTATAGATCGGGCCTGCCAGCTGATTTGAACCTTTGCCTGTTTAACCCCGGAATAAAAACACATTTACCTTATATTTAGGACAAATACCATTTGTGATACATATAATCCATATAATATTATTATTTAACTTTTATTTAAAATATAGTTCTGTGTGAGTTTTATTTTCAATATTTGCTTTTCAATGTTTTAAATCAGCATAGTTGGCTAACTGAATTAACAGAAAATATCTCGATATCCCTCAGCATAATGTAATGTATTTAAGTGTACAACATTTTGAAATGTGTCAATTGATGTCCTTCGAGGCCGATTGAGAACGCAAGCATATATATAACTATGACTATTATGGGAGCCCATAGGGCATATTCAGTTCGATTTTTCGCAGACACGTTGGCAGCATTCAGCACGCCCTTTAAGGGCATTTAATTTTTATCACACTTTTTTAATGTACTCGCCGAGCTGGACTATTTTCATGGCTATAACTGTTGTTGTTGCTGTTGTTGTTATTATTGTTGTTGTTGCTGTCATCATTTCGCTGCGTAGCGCATAAGAGATACAGCAATTGAGTCGACTGAGGTATGCAACTATTTATACACACACACACACACATACATACACGTAGTTAACGTTAGATACTCACGCTTAGCCTGGCTTAGCTTTTCCTCTGTGCGTGTGTGTGACTGAGGGTCAGACTGGGCTGTGTATTGGAGTGGGGTCAACACTCCTAACAGCACATGGAGACATAAAAAATAATGCATTTTGTGCACGCGAAAAAATACTCGACATAAAGCAAAAAAAAAATAATAGAGAGAAGGCAAAAGAAAAAAGCGAAGTTAAATAAAATTACAACATAAAGTAAGGCAACGAGTGTTGTGTGCGCCTGTGTGTGTCAGTGTGTAGACAAGCGATGGGCGGGTGGGGGTGGTGCCAAGCAGCTAGCGAATACCAGAAGAAATATCCAAAAATGAAAGACTCGTTGAAAGTTGCGTAAAACTTGCTGAAACTGCCAACTGAGGACCAGTCAGCAATAGCTAAAGCAATGGCAATAGCAATACCAGCTACAGCAACAACAATAACAACAACAGCACCAACAACAACAACAACATCAGCAACAGGGTGACGCATTCAAAGGATGACAAAGTGGACCCTTACACTAGGATGAGGACGCGACTGTCGTCTGCTCAGCGCAGCTCAAACTTTCAATTTACTTGTCCAATGTCTTTCTATCTCTGTTACTCCACTGTCAAACCCCCCTTCCCTACCCCCTACAACCCCGCTCTATCATATTGCTTTTGCCTGTGTGTGTGTGTGTGTGTGCGTTGGAAGCTTTTGTGTTGCCGCTGGGAATGCTTTAGCAAAGGTCCCAAACAACTGCAGCTACAACGTCTTTTTTTTCAGCTTGCATATAAGTTGCAAAGTTTGCCAAGGCGCGCACACACACACACACACACACACAGCGTAATAAGCACAGGCCAGAGCAAAAAAAAAACAAAAAACTATATAAAAATGTACATATATAAAATATATTTTGTATATACACGCGCCGTTGCAAGTTGTGTAATGCGAATGCTCAACGTGAATGTTATGCTTATGTAAAATGCTGCTTCCACAATGCTACAAGAGCGGGAGAGGTGAGTGTGTGGAAAGACAGGGTCGAGGGGCGACGCAATGCTGTTGCTGAAGTTTGCCGCAAGTGCTGTGCGAATATACAAAATAGATGAAACTGCATTATTATAAGTATCACAAACACACACGCACACACCCAGACAAACAGACGCACAAGCACGCGCGCGCATACACAGCTGGGACAAGCTTTAAGCTCGGCTTTAAATGGCCGCAAGCTCACATCCTCGCTCCAGCTTGACCGCAAGTCAACTAGAATTCTGCTGCTGCCACAAGTAAAAAATTACAGCAACAATTGCCAACTAGCTGCCTGCCACAATACACTGGAAATCCACATATAGCAGCGCCCCAAAAAACGCGGGCAATCGCCGAACCACAAACAATTGCAGAAACTATTCGAGCTAAATTCGGGTACATTTGAGTTTGTGAGTGGCCGCAATGTAAGCAAATCTAGGGCTCGAACTCGCGACAGACCGCACCACTTGCCACCGCTCTTACTCAACAGCTACACCAAGAATTAAATCGTATTGAGAAAAAAACGAATAACTATAGCAGCACAAAAAACAATAGTATTGCAATTGCAATGCTGTTGATAGAATGGAAATTCTTACTATTTGTGCTTGCTGCTGATAACACGTGTGCAGTCAAAACACATAACTTTTGTGTGTTTCTTAACCCATCTTAATGCAATTTTCAGCAGTATATTTTATTGTACCATAGATAATTGTATATTCTCAAAAAGTCAGTTGACGCTTATATTGATGGGCAGCATAAATTAGTTAATTTAACTTGATTTATAACTTTGTAGTGGTACTGGGGAGGTGGTGATAGCTATGAAATGAAAGATACTTGATATATATGCTAGAATATACATGTCAAGTTTGGTGACTCTAGCTCTTATTATTTACCAAAAGAGCTCAAAAAACATGAATTCGATATCGATTTTAATCGATTACTTGGAAATGGGGCATGTTATCGAATATCGGGAACAAACTCGATCTGCACAGGCGCCAGGAGCACCTACAGATAAAATTTCAAGTCTCTAGATCTTACAGGTTTTGAGATCTTTTCGTTCATACATACGAACGGACAGACGGACAGACAGACGTACATGGATAGATCGAATCGGCTATTGATGCTGATCAAGAATATGTATACTTATTTGCACAAATACATAATACCTTTTAGCACATTTTCAATAAGTAGGGTATAATGACTACAAAAATCAACTGAACTTGGCTAAGTGTAGGATAAATATCAAAATATTTTTGAATCGAAATATCAGCCTTTATATTTATTGCACAGCAACCTACAAGTTAATTTGATGTTAATCGTGGGTAACTTGAAGGCGTAGATTTCACGAAAAGTATGAAATGAATTTCATAAAATTATTTAAAAATTCGTTAGTTGTCCAAATTTCACTCACGCGGAGTGAATTTAGCGAAAACACTTTATTAAATTGCTTAGAAATGAATTACTTGGAAAAAAGTTTGACCTGGTGGCATTGAACCCCATGTCCCAGCACGGAGAGGCGACATTCGAGGGTGGAATTCCTCAAAAGGGACACCTTACGATTCACTTAAGTACATCAACTAATGTATATTATTTAGATCGATCAGTCAGATTCTAGATTGCCATTTATTTGCCAGTGAATTTAAATTCAAATCCTAATTGAAGCTGAAAACAACCCAATGTTTTCTTCAAGTGTAGCCGGATACCCGCTTTGGGCAATTCTTCCTCACAGATCATGTAGTAAGCTCCTTGTTGCTGTTGTTGTTGTTGCTGCGGCAAACGCAAATGCGTAGCCGCGCACTCACTTACCTACACGACCAGCCCCCTCCTCCCTCTTTCGCCATCAGTACAACCACCTCTCGAAAAAACAGAAACAAATCGTAAAATAAAAAAATTGTGAGCGCTTAAAAATCGGATTTAGCTGATGCTCCTATCAGCATACAACTGTAAATATGGGTGTGTGTATGTGTGTATTTGTCGCCGGACCGCAACGCTATTACGTGAATAGTGCATTCGTCCGGCGCCGGGTGGAGCAGTTCGAGCACAAAAACCTATTTCACAACCCAAGCGAACCGATGCTGGGGCAGGTGCTGAAATGCGGCCAGTGCGGTGAATGCAACGTTGCAACGTGGGGCGTCCAGTGACGCTTGTTTAGCGAATCGCGAAACCTGCAACGTGCAACGTGCAACGCAAAACTGGAAATCACAAGTGACGTTATGGTTTTGTGCCACCAAACCGCAGGCAATAAAAGACGCAATGACAGTCGATGGCAGTGACAGAACCAGCAGCAGCGGCCACATTAGCTCCACTGGACACACACACACACACACATGCACACTCACGTGTGTCTGTTTTCATTACAAAAATTGTTAGCATTTCGCTGGCGCCGCAATTGACAATTTGCCCATAGTTTATGTATAGGGTATGCGAATTTATATGGTAATTCGATGTGTTGCCCATTTTTCCAAGTCGCTTTATGTGGCTGCCACTACATGGGAGGGGGTAGCAATGAATTCAGGGCGTGGCACAGTTGAATTTACAGCAATGTGCAACAGCATTTCTAAATTGAACGTGTCATGTTTTGAGGCGCTGGCAGCACAGATGCCTCAATAGATTAGCTGTCCTGTTAGCTAGCACATGTGCAACATGCAACATGCCGCACATACACAGACAGCTTGCAACATCCGCTGTCCGGCACACTGTCCGTTGTTGGGTGTCTATTAAAAGTGTCAGCAAATGACTTGAACATGTGCGCCGCAGCAAATGAGAACACGTCAAGGATGTCAGTGGCTGCCGGTGCTAAGGCCAGACTCCTGCTGCCCGGCTTCACACTGCCGCTCGATGCTAGGGACGCTTCTGACAGCCACATTCAATTCGTTGTAGCTGCTGCATGAGATTTGTATGTTTTAGATAATGTCGAACCGGTCGGGCCCGACGACCGACGAGGCACATCAAATATGAATAAGTTTTGAGCGCCCATCCCAGAGATAGCTCTATTTGACAGCTGTCGTGTAACAGTTTTGCTATAAGCACGCACACAGACACACTTATACATACTCATACATACACTATGGGACAAATTGAAATATTTGCCTTTATTTCAATTTTGTTTCAGAGGCTGCTCAGGTTGCTGAGGCTGCAATCTAGTTTCAATCCGAACCAGTTTGAATAACTCAATCGCGCTACACTTGCGTATGTTCCCACTACAATTGAACCGGTTCCTACCCTCCGCATCTTTGAGCCTTTAGGTTCTTAAGGCCCTTAGCCCTCTTAGGCTGTAATGTAGCTTTCGGCTGAACCGGCTCGAAACTGAACTCAATATTAAGCGAACCTTTCACAAAATGAAGCAAATGGAAGTCCAAACCGAAACATATATCCGAACCAACCCGAATCGAAGGCAAGGTCACCTTAAACAGAACCAATGTGAATTTTTTTTTTGACGAAGAAAGGAATTTACATTCATGTCTTAAACCACTGAGTGACTTTTTGCCTGCAGTACCTTGTTTAATGCCCACTGTGCATTGGCTGCCAACTGGAGCTGAACCGGCTCGGAGTTTCATTATAAACCAGCAGTCGGAATGGGCATGGCTCAGCGTTGCCTTGGCTATTGAGCGCATTCATTTAACCTGGCCAGCCTCCTGCTGTGCGCTGCCTGCGCTCGACTTTATCGCTTGGTTTCTTTCACTTCTGCGCGGCTGAGCAGCCAATACGCCAGCAATTGCAATTGCCATCAAAGCTGAAGCCTAGCCGACGGAGGAATCAGAGATGATTCTGGGCCTGGCTTTAATGGCGAAATGTTCATTTGTCATTATTGACAGATGTCGCACGTTTGCCATTTTAATTGGCGGCTCAAACAAAATGAGCTGCAAACGACCCCGCCAACCCTTCCAGCTGTCCTTACAGTCTACTTTCCCGCCATCCCACCGTCCCACTGTCCTTGGCTCCTTTCATGCAATCGCGCCTGAGTGGGCAAAGTAAACTTCTTTTTTTCCAGACTGTCCAATGCAGTCAAAGGCGTTAATGATTTATGTGCAGCCATGGATTTGATTTTAAAGTCCGCTCACTTTCGCTTTTTATTTTTGTTATTTTTGATTTCTTGGACAAGCCCAACTATCGCTACTATCGCAACTATCGTTCTACTTTTCAAATATGACTGATCTCACACACATGTCAATTGCAGATGTGCTTGTCGATTTGTCCACATTCTTAAATCACGGTCAGTCAGGTTAGTTTTCGCCTTGCCTATCACTACTTAACGATTTCTCTCTCATTCTTTCTCTCTCTCTCTCTCTCTCTCTCTCTCTCTCTCTCTCTGCTTAACTTTTGCTCTAACTTGCGCTCGCTCTTTCTCTCTGTTTTTCTGATTTGCATGTTTATATCTGCATGTTTTTTGTTTGATATACATTCTCGTTATAAAAAACTCAATATTTGCGATAAGCCTACAGCTTCTAAAAAGTAAATAAATATATAAAAGTCTCAATGAAATAGCAAATATATTTATATATATGCATATATGAGTGTGTGTGTGAATGCCGTTTACCAAGCATTTTGTGGCAACAATTTAATTCATTTTTTCTGTTCAATTTGCAAGGCTTTGACAGTAAAAAAAAATGTATAAAAAATAATAAAAAAAAGCGCTTTAAAAGGATAACATGAATATTTCGTTGCACATGTGCTTGTGTGCGTGTTCGTGTGTTTTGTACGTGTTTGCATTATTTTTAAAAGCCCATTGGCTACATTTGAAATGTTGCAACCTGCATGAGTCATGCCATTTCTTTTATAGCTGCAATATTGAAAATATATATACCACCATGCGTACAATTTGATAGAGATAACTGCATATACGAAGTAATGATTGAATTTGCTTTGTCCATGGACTTATTGAAATCTATTTTTGTATACGCTCAAACTATAAACGAGGGCAGCAATTAAATGCAAATCGATTTATGTGATTTACGAACATTTTCAATTGCAGATAACGAGATGCGGGATCTGAGTGTTACCTTCTATGGCAGCGGTGCGGTCAATCGACAGAAACTGAGTCTGGTTACACTGAGCGGCGTTACGCTAATGCTTAAACTAATCATGGCTTAGACCCATCGCGTTAGTTTTAATTGGACTTAAGTAACGAATTTCACCGCCAATAGCATACACAAATTGAACGAGTTTTTGGTTTGTTTTGGAATACTTACTTAACGGCAACCGAACCGGCAGTAATTGTGCCAGATTGAAGAAAAAAGAAAGGAAGTAAAAAAACAGCTCTAGTTGTAACTAGTTTAAGACATGCAACATTTTCTCAAACTCAACTCAACTCAACTCTCAATTTTGAAAATTCTCAGAACATTTCAAACATTAAACGAAAAACAAAGTAATAACTAAAGGCAAGAAATGGAACCATACAAGTATATATACATATACTACGATACAATCAATGTAATAGCGTAAGCAACGGTGCATACAACATATGCATACGCTCACACTCACAAACACATACACATACACACTTAAATACATGGATACATAAAATATCTCAACATTTCAACACTCGAAACTCCAGTGTACATAGATTTTATTGCATACTTTTAGGTGTAGGCAAAAAACTGCACTAAAGAAGCAAATGAGAGAAAGAAAAAGCGTTAGGAAGCTAAATGAATTATGATATAAAGATACAGAACAACAAAATGATACACACCCACACAGCCACACACATACACAACAACACACAGACACACACAAATAGTTGTGTTTAAAATAATAGCATTGCTTGAGTGTGTGCGTATCTTGTATCTAGTATCAAGTATCTTGTATCTAGCATTTAGTAAATTGTATGTGTTAATTAAATTAACATGCCAGTGCTTAGCCAATTATTCGTATTCAAACAAAATGCATACAAATAAAAGTATAAAAAGCGAAATGAATGTGTATTTATTTGCGCATATTAAGATGGAATACCAATAAGTTTGTATTTCAATTCCAATATGATAAAGCAAGTCGCTGTTTTTTCTAGCTTTTTGCTATTTTGATGTCTGTAGAATTAAGTAGCATAAATAACAGCAGATAAATTAATAAGCTTTGATTTCTACATGTAAATTACATAAATACACGTACACACACACACACATAAATACACAAACATACATAGTCTATAAATTAATGCTTTGTATTGCATAAGTGTAAATAATTAGAATTGATATCGAGCAGAGCAGCTTAAAAGGCCAAGTAGCAATCCAATTGAGCAGCGGCAAAGTGCTGCATCTTATGGATACATATACAAATATTAATTATACAAATAAATATATATTAGCAAATTTATTCCGTAACGCATTCGACTTGAGCACAGTAAACAGGGTGCGGCCCAGGTTGTTTTTCTTCCAATTTTCTAACATTGTTTTCTTTTGTATATAAGCTGCACCAAGATAATTCCCCTTATATAAATACTATATATATATATACATATATAAATCGCACACACAAAATGTTGCAAAAGGCACCGTTTGTTCGCAGCACCCTGTATTATAATTTTTAGAAAATTTTCAATGCTAGGCAAAATATTTCATCTAGTCAAATGCAGTAAGTACATCATAAGAATACAAATCATGATAAATTTAAAGCAGCTGTTGCTTAAAATAAATATCATAAAAAAAAACAGAAAATTATATGTAAACACGAAAGTCTATTTATAAATAAAACTAAATAAACAATTTACTCAAAACAGCTTTTAATTAATAACAGTCATTTGCCCGAGCGAACGGCTGCACAGAAAACACAAAAAAAATACAAAAAAATTAAAACAACAAACGGAAACAGAAAAGAAAAAGAAAATCCTAAAATGGTATTAAAAAATTATATGTTTAATTCAAACTCATGGCCAAATGCAGAAACGGCAAGGCGAACGTATTTATAATTATACTTATTAAAATAGTGCGTCACACATACATATGCATATAAATGTATATTTGGTATATAGTATACTATATACAAATAAATGACATTAAAATATTCAAACAAAGACACTTTTCGCCATTAAATAAAATATATATGTATGCGATTTCGTTTAAATGAAACTGCCCACGCCCCACCTTACCCCCGGTACCCCATCCCGCCCCCATTCCCACCCACTCCAATTGCTTAGAGTCCAATATTGATATAATGATCTTCTAGTATGTATATGTAAATGTGTGTTTGTATGTGTAATTTAATATATATATATAAATTTATATATATATATTTATTTATATACATTTACTTAAATAATTGTATTGAGTTAAAGAAAAAACCAAGAACAAAACGACAAAAAAAATTGTGTACAATTTTTCTGTTCGACTTATAGATCCTAAATCCACAGATCTTCAGTTATGTGCGATGAGTTAATGTAACCCACAACAACTACAAAAACCAAAAAAAAATAAAAAAAAACGAAAAATTTTTTGCATTCAATGTATATGTGACTAGATACGTACTCATATGTATATGTAATATGTATATTTGATTATTTTGTAAACATTTTTCAAATAACAACTACATATAAATAAAGTCTATATGAACATATAAATGTAGATGACGGCCCTTTTTAATCTGAGGAACGCGCATACTACATATTTTTTTTACCCTTTAAGCAATGCGTTGTGAATGGGTAAGAGGGTATAATGGTCTTTGGCACATGTGTGTAATATATGCATGTACAAAATTCGATATCAAAATTATGTTTTTCAACAAATCTTAAGTTTTAAGAGCTGGAGTCACCAAATTTAACATGAAGCTCTAAAATAGTAGATATAGATTAATTTTCTTTCGTCTTATCGCTTACTCAATTTACTGCTATTATTATTATTATTATTATTTTTATTATTATTATTATTATTATTATTATTATTATTATTATTATTATTATTATTATTATTATTATTATTATTATTATTATTAATAATATTATTATTATAAATATGATTTAATTTAAGTTGTTCATTTTTATATATTTGCCTTAACCTTACACTCAATCTAGGTAAGCTGACGTATGGTTTTACTCAATTATTACATCACGACCAGCAAAGAGATACGGCGATACAAAGAGATTGCTACTCATACATAAAGTATTTAGGTTTTTTATTTTCTGTAGCTGAGGCAAAACTGTAGAGAGCTCGACAGAATCCACCTCTGTTTCTTTATATTAACTACAATTTCTATAGCATTCGTGTTGAGAGGCGCAAAGTCTGACAATCAGGCAGTGCGAGATGAAAACTTACTTTCCTTTATGTACACAAAATCTTTAGTGGATAGCTCAACTTGTTTGTGCCATGCTCCGCAACAGGCGTGTAGACATTTAAGTGAGAGCCTAGCTTAGCTAGGGCCAGACGCAGGCAAGGAAAAGGAAAAGTTTGCATGCTGAAATCTTGTATGATGCGCTGAGTAGTCGGGTGGCGTACCAACTGTTGGGCAAGGGCACAGAGGGCCAGGCATAACTTTAAATGGAAAATTTGACAGGGGTGTATTTGGGATGTCAGCATTGACAATGGACAGGCTAGATATCAGGCAGGTGTAATATTTGCATAACATACACGCACACACACATCTGGCACACACAAACTAAAACTCTGGCAGTTAAAATTGAAAAGTTGGTCGAACAAGTTGAAAATATCAAAATAAAACACACGGCACAAAACCTACAAATGGCGTTAACAAATTCTGTTGGCATAATATTATTGCCGGGCTAATTTGAGTCCAAAGCCTGACGGGTTGCAGGTTGCCCGGCTGCTCGGTTGTCCTGCTGCAAGGTGCAAATGGCATAAAATAGCTGCTGCTCCAAAAAGTAGGCAGCCCGAAACGTACAACAAGTTGCACCTGAACCCAAAAGCCTACGTGCCGCAGCGTGAACTGAAAGCGAATGCGAGTATAGAATGCAAAAACATGCCGACGTCATGTTGCAGCCGTATGTGTGTGCATGTGCGTGTGTGTCTGTGCGTGCGTGTGTGTGTGTGCGTGCATGTGTACACCTCATTTCCGGGCATTGTTTTTTGGGCCAGGCAGCTGGCGTTGGTCTTGTTGTTGGCTGCAGCTGTGCTGTTTTTGTGTTATGAGCTACTTGTTGTCCCCACGCGCTGCCAAACACAGAAATTCTCACACACACACAGGTTGTGCATGTGTGTGCGGCTTAAAGTCCTTTTGCCGCTTCTAATGCATTATGGCAACACGAACGCCACTCGACTGCTTGTGTGCGTGTGTGTGTTTGTGTATAGCACAGTCTAAAATATCACTGGCTGTATCGCACAACAAACACACACACGCACACACACCCGCACCGTCTGCGTGTGTGTGACCACTACATAAATATTTGCATATAAAATTTATTATGCTAAAAATAAGCCAAGATGTAAAAGGGAGGTGAAATAAGGCCAACTTTGGAGCTGCATAATGAAACCAGACGCAGCCCAGCAACAAATGTCATGACAACCCTAAGCCACCCCCCGCAGCCCTCCAAGCAGCCTGACATATCAGCCACATTCACACCTCGTCGACTGAAGCCTATTTATGTGACACGCCAGTCGAGGTTGTCGTCGTCTTCCTTGCAATTTAAGTCCCTTTGTGGCCCGGAAGTGGGTCACATATGCACCCAAGCCGCAGCTGCAGCTCTAGGCCAAGACAAAGAACACGCTTGCCAGTAATTAGGAACGCGACGATAAATCCTCCCTCTTCCCTCTACAGCGCCATACACTCTCCCTACCTTTGCATCCATTCCGAATGGGCACAACATTTGTGCTACTCGAGTGCCTTCACTCGAGTCCTGTATTTGTGCTCATATTTCTGTGGTTCGCGCAATTTCTGCATAAATGAACTTAAACTTTAATCGGCTTTTGAGACACAATCCTCGCCAGCTGCCAGCTTGTTAAGTGTTCAGGCTAAGACGCTCGTAATGCGTTTATCGAGAGCACAAAATATTTGCATGCTTTTAGGCACACGACCACAAAAATAGAAAGCGACAAATCCAAAGCAAGAGCTGAGCTTGCCAAATCAAAAGAATATATTTAAATAAAATAAATAAAGAAAAAATAAACCAACGAATGTGTACTCGTGTCTGCTGCTCGTTTTCTTATATAGTTCTAGCGGGTATTGTCCAGCCTTGCCGTGGCACGTATAAAATAAATACTCTCAAAGATTTTGATTATGAGTTTGAAACCTTTCGAAAGGTAAACAAAAAACTGTCATACAATCGTTTTCCACCAATTAATTACTGTTGCGGGTGAAATTTCCTATATCGCTGAAACACGTATTCATTAAGTTCTTATGTACAGCTTTGAAAATAAGTTTTGAAGCAAATTGAATTGAAGCAAGACTTAAAACTTTACCAAAAAATCTTTGAATTCGTCTTTGAAACGTCTTCATATTTTTCAAAATCTTGGTTAAGATACGGGATTAGTTAGTGCTGGTCTATATGAATATATTATTTCATATTTGTAGGCTTTATGAAATATAATTGAAAAGGAAAAGAAAATTGGAAAATTTCGCAAAAATAATGACGCCAATTTTGCCCTATTTGCTTAGTATTTTAAAGAAGGCGTTTTTGAATGCCAGTTGTCTCACTTGACCCGAAATGGAGGAGGTAGATTAACCCAATAACAATTTCAACGTCATCGTAATTGTGTTTTTAATTTTCAATATTTTAAACAAATTTAAACGAACATAGTTCTGATGAATGATGAATGATAAATGAGTACGATTTTGGATAACAGCCGCATCTGATAAGCGAATATTTATAGAACAGCTTGTAATCAATCATTTTTGACTGAGAAGAGTTGTGATTGAACCCCCAAGTATTGATAATTATTAAGATTTAGAGTTGTTTTTTTTTTATTTGCTGAAAGAGGCTCCATGCCCTTAAAAAGTGAAAGCCTGTGCGGCTCTAACATTCTATGTTCGAGAAAAATTGTAGAAGAATATTTTTGAATATTTTGAAAGTCAATCCATGGTTCCCATCCGCATGAGTAGAAGAAAGATATAATTATCAATAGTTGGACTTCATTATTGCAAATAAAATCGTTAATAGAGCTTTAAAGATGTTCATAAATTACGAGCTTCACAATGCTTATTAATAAGCAAGTAAACTCGTCTCAGAGAGGTTGTATTAAAAATTGAGCTAGTGCAATATATATAAATATAGCAGCGTATCTCTGAAACTCCGAGGATATCTGTTGCTCTTGGAAATTGAGCTTAAGGATAGATGGAAAGTCTACGCAATTGTTCATAATAGAAAAAAACCAGGTCTTTGCGAGAATGTTTAGTTGAGATTTGCATCGCTTTAAATTGTGCTAACGAAAGACTTAATCTTGGAGCATATACAAGCTCGAGAGTTTTCCACTGCTGCTTGCACATGGTGGGTGGGTCTTCCTCATAATATGCCAGCTAGCTTAATCCATTTTACAAGCGAGCAACAGCAGCAGGCAGAAAGCCGCTCAGTGGGGGGTGCCGGCAGTCTTGACTGCCTGCCACTTCCGCAAGCCACACCCCCGCCCTTTGCTGACAAACAACCAATGCGCGTAACAAGTGCTACTCGAGCTGCGGCAAAAGTCAGAAGGACGGGGGGCAAAAACAAAGTAGGCAAAAGCCACTCAATGGGCTGCAAGTGCAGCGCCCATTTTTACTCGTATGTCGCTTTTCTTTTGTCCTGTGTCCTTTGTCGTTTAACGCTTGCCGTTGCTTAGCAGCCCCTTTAATAAATAATGCATGCCACGGCTGTTAAGGATGTGCCAGGCTCAACTGTACTGCCAGCGGCAACTGCTCACTAGACTGGCCAACACCCGCTTTAAGCGGGCCAACTGACAGCTGTTACCAACAGCTTCTGACAGCAACTTCCGACAAACTGATAAACGTCCAGCTGTGTGCATGGTCCACATCATGTAGCTCAATAATTGTTGTTCATCTTGATTGA